TTCTGCTGCTTTTTCAGTCCAAATCCCTAGGGCATCAGTCTCTGAGTAAGGCGTGGGACCAGGCCTCCCAGTCTTGTGGCCTTTCCAGTGCCCTCCAGAGACTGGAGCAAGCTGGCAGTTGTGTATGGGTCAGTGGTCTTCAGTGGTTGCCTGGCAGCAGGGCCAGAAACCCCCTCTAAGATTTATGAGGCTGGTGGGATGTGAGGAGGTCCTCTCCTAATTTGCATAGCTACCAAATGAGGTTCAATTTAAAAAAAAACAAATTATTTTGCTATGTAAATGAGACCCTTGTGGTAAAAGACCATGTGCAAATCTTTGACTTTCTCTGAGCCCTGAAGATTGGGGCAAAGGGACTTGAGAGTGATGTGACAGGCTTCCCTGAACCTGTGGGGCTGGACCTGTGCTGCTGTACTGTTTGGAGGTGAATTGGGAATATGCAAATTATCTTGTCGCTGTATTCTCTGGGCCGGCAGAACCAGGCTTTGCGATAATCTGCCTGACCTTCTAGGTTTGATTGGATGCAGCTAAACAAATAACCTGACTGAGGCTCGGGGGAGGGTTCTGGGCTGACCGGGGTGTCCTCTCTGGCCCCAGTGCTGCACCGTCCCCACTTCCTGGGGGCTTTTCCTCCCACTTCCCTGCCCGAGGACCCTTTCCTGGCTCCTCCTCTGGGTTCCCCTGACATGGTTTCTGTTTCTCCACAGAAGGAAGAGGCCCAGCAGAAGGGACTTGCTGAGCCACCCCCCGTCCCACTCCATGTTGGCTGCGCTCTCAGGTGAGAGGGTGCCCAGAGGACTGCAGTGAGGAAAAACTAGACCCAAAGCAGCAGGCCAGGAGGGCGGCCATTTTTTCTAGGCTGGGGAGTTCTGTGAAATGGCTTTCAGGAGTAGCGGGGCTTCCCCCTCCTTCCGACAAGAGGTTCCATTGCTGATCTCCCTAGTCTGTGACTTCAGAGGTCATGACCCCTTGACCTTCACCATGACCTGAGGTATCTCTGGCCTCTTCCAGATACAGAGGTGAGTTAGACATACAGGTCCTGGATGCTGGCCAAACTTGGGTGGCTAAGGCCAACCCCTGATTTCTCTGACCTGAAGTGATTCAGCCTTCCACTAGTTTCTGACCAGCAGCCCTGACCCACTCCCTGCCTGATCTTAGAAGCCCCTGCCCTCTGCCCAGCCTCTGAGACTCTCCCCGGCCTCTTCTTTCACTGTCTAGGCTGGCATCATGCCCCCCCCTGCAGAGGTGACGGACCCGTCCCATGCTCCCGCAGTCCTGCACCAGCTCAATGAACAGCGGCTCTGTGGCCTCTTCTGTGATGTCACCCTCATAGCTGGAGACACCAAGTTCCCTGCTCACCGCAGCATCCTAGCTGCTTCAAGTCCCTTCTTCAGAGAGGCTGGTCGGGGAACAGCCTTGGCCAGAACTCAGAGATCACCAGGACTACGGTGGCAGTGGGTGGGGCTTGGGGCCCAGAAAGTTATCCTGAGACTAGGCCAGCTGCAGTAATCCCAGCACTTTGGGAGGCTGAGGTGGGAGGACTGCTTGAGGCCAGGAGTTTGAGATGAGCCTGGACAACACAGAGACCCCATCTCTCCAGTTTTTCTTTTTTGAGACGGAATTTTGCTCTTGTTGCCTAGGCTAGAGTGCAATGGCATGATCTTGGCTCACTGCAACCTCTGCCTCCTGGGTTCAAGCAACTCTCCTGCCTCAGCCTCCCGGGTAGCTGGGATAACAGGCATGTGCCACTATGCCTGGCTGATTTTGTATTTTTAGTAGAGGTGGGGTTTCTCCAAGTTGGTCAGGCTGGTCTCGAACTCCCGACCTCAGGTGATCCTCCCGCCTTAGCCTCAGCCTCCCAAAATGCTGGGATTACAGGTGTGAGTCACTATGCCTGACTTTTTTTTTTTTTTTTTTTTTTTTTTAAGCTGGAGTCTCGCTCTGTCCCCCAGGCTAGAGTGATTCGATCTCAGCTCACTGCAACCTCCATCTCCTGGGTTCAAGTTGAGTATCTGGGATTATAGGCATGCACTACCACGCCCAGCTAATTTTTGTTTTTTGTTTGTTTGTTTTGAGACAGAGTTTTGCTCCCACCATCATCCCTGGCTAATTTTTGTATTTTTAGTAGAGGCAGGGTTTCACCATGTTGGCCAGGCTTGTCTGGAACTCCTGGCCTCAGGTGATCTGCCACCTCGGCCTCCCAAAGTGCTGGGATTACAGGCATGAGCCAGCATGCCCAGCCGGGATACATGTATTGAAATCCTTTGAGACTTTTTATTGTTCACTTTTTTAGTCCTTTATATATTTTTCATGTATGGCCCTTATGAGATAGATGATTTCCAAATATTTTCTCCTTTTTTTTTTTGAGACAGTTTTGCTCTTGTTACCCAGGCTGGAGTACAATGGCGCCGCGATCTCAGTTCACCACAGTCTCCGCCTCCTGGGAACAGGCAATTCTCCTGCCTCAGCCTCCTGAGTAGCTGGGATTACAGGCACGCACCACCACGCCCAGCTAATTTTTTGTATTTTTAGTAGAGACGGGGTTTCACCATGTTGACCAGGATGGTCTCGAACTCCTGACCTCAGGTGATCTGCCTGCCTTGGCCTCCCAAAGTGCTGGGATTACAAGCGTAAGCCACCATGCCCAGCCCCCTTTGAAACTTTTTATTGTTGACTTGTTATAGTCCATTACATATTTTTCATGTGTGGTCCTTATGAGATAAATGATTTCCAAATATTTTCTTCTTTTGTCATTAGTTATTAGTTTATTAAAAAAGAGAGATATGGAAATGGTTTTTATTAATTTTTTTTTTTTGAGACAGAGTTTCGCTCTTGTTACCCAGGCTAGAATGCAATGGCTCGATCTCGGCTCACCGCAACCTCCACCTCCTGGGTTCAGGCAATTCTCCTGCCTCAGCCTCCTGAGTAGCTGGGATGACAGGCACGCGCCACCATACCCAGCTAATTTTTTGTATTTTTAGTAGAGACGGGGTTTCACCATGTTGACCAGGATGGTCTCGATCTATTGACCTTGTGATCCACCCACCTAGGCCTCTCAAAGTGCTGGGATTACAAGCGTGAGCCACCGCGCCCAGCCTAATTTTTTATAATATATGTGTGTACATAAATTTTTTTGTTTTTAAGACAGGATTTTACCATGTTTGCCAGGCTGGTCTCGAACTCCTGACTGCAGGTGTGCCTGCCCTGGCCTCCCAAAGTGCTGGGATTACAGGCATGAGCCACCGCACCTGGCCACAGAAATTATTTACATGATGAAAGATTTCAGAAATTCAGTGGAATGGGCAGCTTCATGCTGATGCCATTTCAACAGTGACAGTCTACATACTTTCCAAGAATGTCACCATCTCCAAACAGGAAATAATCCTTGTCATCTAGAATTACTTTGATGCCTCCATACTCTGAGAGAACTTTGTCTCCAACTTTCAGGCTAACTGGTTGAATCTCTCCACTCTTTCCTTTAGAACCTGATCCAATGGCAACTACTCTTGCTTGCAGTCGTTTTCCCTGAGATTTTTCTGGAAGCATAATGCCTCCTTTGGTTATAGCAGCACTCCTTTCGACTAGTACTCACTCAACGAGTGGAGGAAACGTTTTTATGCTGTCCTGCCACGACTCCCTTCACGTTGTACTGCCACAAGGAGAGACCCCCACCGCCAACCAGCCCTCATAACATGTGGAAAAAAAGCCCAAATATCTTCTGTTCTCTGCGTTATCTTTTGACTTTCTTGATAGTAGGCACTTTCTTGATCATGCTTTACTATGAAGCATGAAGTTTTAAATTTTGATGAAGTCCCTTTCATCTCTATTTTTCCCTTTGGATGCTTATGCTTCTGGTATACTAAGAATTCACTGCCTAATCCACAGTCATTAAGAGGTATCCAAGTTTCCAAGAGTTTTATAGTGTTAGCTCTTGAATTTAGGGATTTTGAGATAGTTTTTGTACATGGTGTTAGGTAGGAATCCAACTTCTTTTGCATGTGGATATCCAGCTGCCCCAGCACCATTTGCTAAAAAGACTATTCTTTCCCCATTTAATTAAATTGGCACTCTTGTGAAAAATCAAGTGACCATAAATGTCAGGGTTTATTTCTGAACTCAATTCTACTCTATCAGTCTTCATATGTACCTTTATGACAGAGCACACTGTTTTGCTTACTGTAGCTCTGTAGTAAGTTTTAAGATCAAGGAATGAGAGTCATACAACTTTTGTTATTTTTAAATATTGTTCGGGCTATTCTACGTCCCTTGCATTTCCATAGGAATGTTAGCATCAGCTTGTAAATTCCTGCCAAAAAGCCAGTTGGGATTTTGATAGGGATTATACTGAATCTGTAGATCACTTTGGGAAGTAGCGCTATTTAACAATACTAAGTCTTCCAATCCATGAACATGAGATATCTTTCATTTACGTCTTCTTACATTTCTTTCAGCCGTGCTCCACAGTGTTTCCTAATACATTTTTTATTATTTAATTTATGAAAATTGACTTGAACAGATTCAGAGGTATGATGACATTATAATGACACTGCTTTACCCTGTTATTATCCTATAAAATCTTTAAAGCCAGTGAAAGCATATTCCAATATCTGTAAATCTTTTTTTGTTTACTCCCTCCAATTCCCTGTCTTTATCTAAATTAGACTGTGCACACAGCAGGGACAGTAGGAAAAAAAAAAAAAAGAACAATTCTCCTACATCACATCCCAGTCATGCCACTTATTTCCCACATGACCATCATACAATCCAGCCACTCTCTCCAAGCCTTTTTGTGTCTGCAACCTGGGACTAACAAGCCCTCCCCTCTTAGGAGTGTTCTAAAGCCGCTATTGGCCAAACACAGAACTTGGTAAGGTACACAGCAGTCTCTCCATGAATGAGAGCTGTTATTAGGTGATTGTGGACAGAAGTGGGCTGTTCTTGGAAACCAAAGTCAACAGGTAAAAGGAGAAAAACAAGACTACCATGAGGAGCACAACACTCACAATGGCTTGGTTGAACTTGGACTCAATCTCCCCAAGCAGCCAGTCAAAGGCCTCTCCACTGAGCCGAAACTCCTCTGCCATGCGGCGGGAACACAACGTGGATCGCAGGTGGATGTTGAAGAGCAGCGTGGCATTTTCCTGGGCCTGCCGGCTTAGTGGGTCATCCCCATTCATGATCACCAGCTTCTTGCTCAATTCCTTGACTCCTGGGGACCAACTAAAGGTGAAGAGATTGTTAGACCAGGGCCCAGCAGTCTCCTTTCCCCTGGCCTGGCTTGGAGACCCCTCAGCAGGTACTCACCCTCTACCACTTTGATGGGGTGCAGGTCAGAGGGAAGGCGCGGGTTGATGTGGAAGATTTTCTGATCATGTGCAGCAGCTTACAGGGGAGAATGACCTGAGGAAGGAGGGAATGGAGGGAGGGGTTGAGTCTGGGGACAACCATCCAGGGCGGCACATCTGCAGCATAGCACTTCCCACCCACACACACCTTGCTGTCTCCAGTTGGGAAGATGACCCTGCGCACCTCCCGATCCTCTTGCATCCGCTCAAATTCCCGCTCCAATTCATTCTGTATATGCGCGTTCCTCAGCACATCCTTCACCAGGTCTTCCTGCAGCGTGCACCGCAGGGCCCTCTCATTGGTATAATCAAAGCGGAACCTGAAATGCAAGGGGTAGTCAGTGGGCAAGTGGGCTGTGGGACCTTGGTCCCCACAAAAAGCACTGTGAGGCTCCCAAAGGTGCACAGCCGACCAGGTACAGTGGTTCAGGGGCAAGAATCCTGGACAGAGAAAGATCCAGGCTCAAGGACTGCCACTGGGACCTGAGTCCATGCCTGCCCCTCTGCAGTTGCTACACACACAAGCTACCACACCTGGCTAATTTTGGGTTGTTTTTTCTTTTTGAGACAGAGCCTTGCTCTGTCACCAGGCTAGAGTGCAGTGGCACGATCTCGGCTCACTGAAACCTCCATCTCCCAGGTTCAAGCGAATCTCTTGCCTCAGCCTCTTGAGTAGCTGGGATTACAGGCATGCACCACCATGCCCAGCTAATATTTTTTGTATTTTTAGTAGAGATGGGATTTCACCATGTTGGCCAGGATGGTCTTGATATCTTGACTTCATGATCCGCCCCCCTGGGCCTCCCAAAGTGCTGGGATTACAGGCATGAGCCACCATGCCCGGCCCAGTATTATTACCTTTTTTAGAGACAGAGTCTTGCCATGTTTCCCAAGCTAGGCTCCAACTCTCTGGGCTCAAGCAATCCTCCTGCCTCAGTCTCCCAAAGTGCTGAGATTACAGTCAGGACTCACCATACCTGGCCCCTGATTCATTCTTTTCAACATTGCTAAATATTAATTAAGCCTCTCCCGAAGATTGAGAATGTCCCAGTGGAGGTTCACCAGCAGGAAAAAACACCCAGGCTCCCAAAGGGAAACACTGTGTGAAGAAAGTGTTCTGGTCTAATGACCAGGCTCAACTCCAAGGCCTGAAGTTTCAGGAGGCTGAGTCTGGTCGCAGCCCTGGCACATAATCCCATGTTGAGGACTTTGCCCAAACATGCAAACAAAGAGTTTGGAAGTCTAGTCTATGTCACTGTCGTGGCCCTGCTGCACTAGAAAAATGACCCATTGGCCGGGCACGGTGGCTCACACCTGTAATCCTAGCACTTTGGGAGGCTGAGGCGGGGGGGATCACCTGAGGTCAGGAGTTCAAAACCAGCCTGGCCAACATGGCAAAACACTGTCTCTACTAAAAATACAAAATTAGCCGGGCATTGTGGCACACGTCTCTAATCCTAGCACTTTGGGAGGCCGAGGCAGATGGATCACCTGAGGTCAGGAGTTTGAGACCAGCCAGGCCAACATGGGGAAACCCCATCTCTACTAGTGTGCATGTCTGTAATCCCAGCTACTCAGGACCCCGGGAGGCAGAAGGGGTAGTGAGTCGAGATAGCACCATTGCACTCCAGTCTGGGTGCCAAGAGCAAAATTCCATCTAAGAAAGGAGAGAGAGGGGAGGGGAGGGAGAAAAGAGGAAGAAAAGAAAAGAGAGAAGAAAAATGACCCATTAGATAGTGCAGGACAAGGTCTCCCTGGGCATACCATAAGACAATGACATAGCAAGTGACAGTACTCAAAGAGGGAAGTGCTGGACTTCCTGCAAATAGGGACAAGGGGTCCCCAAATTACTAACTGGAGAAATAGATGACACAATTTGTGCCCTGAAATTACATTCCATTATTACATAGCAGTTTAAAATTACACAATTTAAAATGACAGTTTTTAATGTCATGCCTCCTGTGTCCAATGTGTAGGTGTCTCAAGGAACAAATATAAATGTGTATAGACCCAGGCCAAACATGGGGTCCAAACACCCACATAGCAGAGACAACAGAAGTAACACTAGCTGCAGTTTAAGCCACACCGGCAGAGGAGAAAGGAAAAGGATGAAATTATTCTTGTGTTTAGGAAAACTCTTTAACAAGCCTTTCTGGCTCGGAAATGTAAAGACTATTCCCATCATCCACATTCCCTGGGGCATAACCTAGAGGAAGAAGCTTTGATGAAGACGTTAAATTGGCCAGGCACAGTGGTTCACACCTGTACTCCCAGCACTTTGGGAAGCCAAAGTGGGCAGATCACTTGAGGCCAGGAGTTCAAGACCAGCCTGACCAACATGGTGAAACCCTATCTCTACTTAAAAAAAATAAAAATAGAAAAATTAGCTGGGCATGGTAGTGTGCACCTGTAATCCTAGCTACTCAGGAGGCTGAGGTAGGAGAATCGCTTAAACACAGGAAATGGAGGTACCAGTGAACTGAGATCACACTGTTGTACTCCAGCCTGGGTGATAGAGCGTGACTATCTCCAAAAGAGAAAAAAAAGAAGTTAAACTGTTCTACAAAGAGAGGTAATGGGAATGTGGGAGCTGACTCCTGGCACAGACCGCAAGGAATCAGGAGTTTGAAAGAAGAAAGTTTACATTTGGCATTCATGTGTACCCACACGGGCTTTCCTACTGCAAAGGACACTGACAAAATTAAGTCCCTGGTCCTTTCTGTAGCATACATAAGAACAAAATGGTAATTGTTAGGGACAAATAAAAATTTAAAAATAAAAGGGCCAGGTGCGGTGGCTCACCCCTGTAATCCCAGTATGTTGGGAGGGAGGCCAAGGCTGGCGGATCACTTGAGCCAAGGAGTTCGAGACCAGCTTGGGCAACATGGCAAAACCCCATCTCTACAAAAAATTACAAAAATTAGTCGGGCGTGGTGGTGCAGGCCAGTAGTCCTAGCTACTTGGGAGGCTGAGGCAGTATAATTACCTAAGCCTGGGAGATCAAGGCCGCAGTCAGCTGTGATGGCGCCACTGGCCTCCAGCCTCAGCAACAGAGTGAGACCCTGTCTCATTTAAAAAAAAAAAAAGCTCTTAAGCAGTCTGGGCTACTATAACAAAGCACCGATCAGGAACCATGGTTCATGCCTATAATCCCACCACTTTGGGAGGCCAAGGCAGGTGGATCACCAGCCTGGCCAACATGGTGAAACCCCATCTCTACTAAAAATACAAAAATTAGTCGGGCATGGTGTTGCATGCCTGTAGTTCCAGCTATTTGGGAGACTGCAACAGGAGAATCGCTTGAACCTGGGAGGAGGAGGTTACACTGGGCCGAGGTCATGCCATTAATCTGGGCAACAGAGCAAGACTTTGTCTCAAAAAACAAAAAAAATTAAAGACCTAGTTCTCTCTGTTGAAAATAACGGAAGAGACTTCTGCTTTAGAAAACTTGTAAATTCTCTTTCTTTTTTTTTTTTTTTTGAGACAAAGTCTCATTCTTCTTGCCCAGACTGGAGTGCCGTGGCACAATCTCAGCTCACAGCAACCTCTGCCTCCCAGGTTCAAGCCATTCTCCTGCCTCAGCTTCCCGAGTGGCTGGGATTACAGGCATCTGGCACCACACCTGGCTAATTTTTTGTATTTGTAGTAGAGACAGGGTTTCACCATGTTGGCCAGACTGGTCTTGAACTCCCAACCTCAGGTTATCCATCCACCTCAGCCTCCGAGAGTGCTGGGATTACAGGTGTGAGCCACCGCACCGGGCCATGTTCTCAGTGTTTAACCATATTCACTCATTTAGCATGTGCTAAATCTGTTTTCAATTATTCATTCCCTCTGTCTGCATGTGGCCATACAGTACACTAGAATGGGCAGAAAAGAAGTCATAAGACAGCAGAGGAACAGTGCTTTTGGGAGTAGGTATGAGACAAACTCTTTTCTAGGCAAAAATAACCCATGAAAATGTGTATGGAAAAGGCCAGATCCTACTATTATGCAGGATGGGAATCTGAACCAGAATAGGGTGACCCCAGAAAACTGGAAGAACTGGGGACCAGCAAATGGCAGACCCACAGTCCTGAGCACAGAGGATGCAGGACAGAGTGGACCTAGAAGATAAGAAAAGGAGTTGAGCCGGGCATGGTGGCTCACGCCTGTAATCCTAGCACTTTGGGAGGCCGAGGTGGGTGGATCACCTGAGGTCAGGAGTTCAAGACCAGACCAGCCTGGCCATCATGGTGAAACCCCATCTTTAAAAAAAAAAAGAAAGAAAGAAAGAAAAGAAAATGAATTGAATCCAATGAGGAGCAGAGACTTCTGGGAGGTCCAGAGGCTGGAAGGTGGGGCTAGAACCCCCTCTCACTTACCTCTACCAACAACTGGGGAACCAAGTTAATTTTGAGAACTGGCTCAAGAAAGCAGATTCACCTTCCACTGGCCTAGCCCAGACCGCCAGACATATCCACGAAGAGTCAAATGCTTCTAATCACTTGGATCAAGATCTACACAGGGACCTGTGTAGCAGGCTTCATCTGACTGATTAATGGATGGGTGACAAAGCCGGAGCTCTGAGTCATCCTTCAATGTTGACAAAGTCCCTCAATAGCTGTGGCCCAACTGCTGTTCCTGGATTTCCAGAAGACCTGATACCCGTGCAGAACCAGGAAACAGGGATAAAAATTAACCTGAAACCTACTGGAGCGGAAGGGGTTGCACTCACCTGGAAAAGGCAAAGTTTGTGGGAATGGCCCATGTATGCCAGGTCCCTAAGCAATTCCACACCGTACCCTAACACCTGACTGATGTTCCTGGGTCCCTAGCATTGTCTGTACCCGCTACGGAGGTTGAACAAAATGAGGTTTTCACTGCCCTGCCTCAGGCCTCTCTCCAAGGTCTGGCCCATGATATTTGGTGTACATTGGGACCCCAATGCCCAGATATTTGAAAGGAGGTGGGGAGCAAGTGTGGAGCTGCTTCATTTCCAGGTTCTAGGTAGCCTGGGGAACCCCTGGTCATTGACGGAAGTGCAGCGCTCAAAGGCGGTAATGCTCAGGTACTGGAAGGCATATGGGCCGCAGGGGGTCTAGCAGCGGGACATCCCTAGATCCCAGCACAGCCTCCCAGGCCGAAGCCGGCCCACTGCCTTCCCCACGTCCCAGCCCAGAAAAGCAGAGACCTTCCTCTGAGTTTGGAAGATGGATTCATCCTCCACTTCTTCCTAGCTCCCCAAAAGACCTGGAGACCTTACGTGTCCTCATCCATGTTCGCTCCAACCCACCCCAATCCCGCCTTCCCGGGAGGTCCAGAGAGGCCCCACCGCACCCACCCCGTTGGCCTCACCCTGGCACAGGCCCCTTTATTATCCTGCAGCTACTCTTGGACCGGGAGGCACAGCCAGTCCCCGCAGCCGGCCCTACAGCTCTGCTCGCAGGTTTCGGCTAGTCTGGGGCGGGGACTTGGGAGCGACTAAAACTTGCCAGGAGGGCGGGGCCGCAGACCTGTTTTTTAAAGGTCGGAACTGGCCCCGAGGTGCTGGTGGCCCTGGGTGGTCCCGGGAATCAGGCGGGACCCGGCTCCCCTCGCCTAAGCTGCTGGGGTGGGGCGGGGGGCGCCATGGGCTGCTACCGCATCCGCGTGGCCACCGGGGCCTGGCTCTTTTCCGGGTCGCACAACCGCGTGCAGCTGTGGCTGATCGGGGCGCGCGGGGAGGCAGAACTGGAGCTGCAGCTGCGGCCGGTGCGGGGTGAGGTCAGCGCGGGGAACTAGGGGACCGGGGCAGCGGGGCAGTGAGGCAGCGGGGACCCTGGGCCCAGGCCTGACTGGGCTCGCAGCGGGAGGCCAGGAGGCTGGGGGAAGGTGACAGCGTGATCTCGGGGACCGGGACTTCCACGGAGTTGGGACGCGCGGCAACGTCAGGGACAAGGTCCGGTCCGGAGCTGGAATCCCGGGCTGGGCTCAACTCCTCCCTTCCCCGCCTCCAGCTCCTTCTCCCAGTGACCCAGAACCTGTGTAAGTAAGAGGCCAGGGGTCGGACGTAAAGGTTCTCAAAGCACCCGCACGGGGAGAGTTCAGTTAGTGGAACCCACGTGGACAATGCTGCTCCAGGCGCTGTGGGCCCTCGTCCTCCGCCTCACTCCGGGCGCCTGAGGCCCAAGGAGCAGGTTGAGTCCGGGCGGGAACGATGCCATCTTTGGAGGCTCTGGGAAACAGGCTGCACAGGGGAGCAGGCCGGGTCCCTCCTACTAAGTCTGGCCTGGGTCTGGTCTGGGCAGGAAGAGGAATTTGATCGTGACATTGCAGAGGACTTGGGGCTCCTGCAGTTCGTGAAGTTGCGCAAACACCACCGGCTAGTGGACGACGCATGGTTCTGTGACCGCATCACAGTGCAGGGCCCTGGGGCCTGCGCGGAGGCGACCTTCCCCTGCTACTGCTGGGTGCAAGGCGAGGACACCCTGAGCCTGCCCGAGGGCACTGGTGAGCGGGCCGTGTCGGGGAACGGGGCGCAAGGTCCCGGGAACTGCTGCAGGGCTGGGAGGGCAGAGCTAAGGACGGTCGGAGAGGACTTAGAGGATGTAGGGAGGGGCCCAGGGCAGGCTAAGTATAGGGATCCCAGGGTGCTAGACAGGAAACAGGAAGGAGTTATCAATCCCCAAAGTTTCACACAGGCTAAGTGAGGCTGCACTGAGGCTGGAGGCAGGGAATAAGTGATCTAATAAGTTCCCATCTTCCAAGAAGGCAAAGACAGAAAGTGGGAGTTGCAGCGATCCAGGAAAACAGAGAAGCAAAGTAAAAGTAGGAAGAAGATGTCTAGGTGAATCAGAAGTCAGGTGAGGGGACCACATGGAACAGGAGGGGGCAGGTGACCCGAGAGCAGACAGCTAAGGGAACCAAATGATAGGATGTTGGTGAGCTGGTTTGGCTGGAATCACATGGAAGACACTGGTGAAGAACAAGAAGCCACTGGCGAAGCACAAGAAGCCACTGGCAGGCAGGAGGCAGGAGGAATGAGGATGGCAAGTACTGAATGTTTAACCATGGGTAATGAGTGAGAAAGAGATGAATACAGAGGAGAGTGAGGGTGGTAGGGATGGAAACATCAAATCTATGACTTTGAGTCAGGTGAGTGTGAGTGCAGAAATGAGCCAGAAGAAGTCGATAGATACAGACTATGATGGTAAATCCAGAAAGGTGAGGCTAAAAAAAAAAAGGCAAACGTAGAATCTTTTGAGAACAGGTGAAGAAGGTGTGGCAGGTGAGGTTTAAGGTGTGAAATTAATCAAAGCATTTTGTAGTAGACAGTAGGCGTAGGCATATAGGTGACTAAGATTTCATCACCTTAATTAAGGTGATTTTTTTCCAACCATAGATATTGATGAAATCAGGCCAGGTTGCGGAAGATGAGTGAAGGAGCAAGCATGAGTGAAGGTGGCAAACAGGAAGATTTTCTCTACAGGCAAAGGATGAGGGCTGAAATAAGAGAAGGCAGGAGTGCAAAGTTGGCAAAGATGGGATAAATTTGTCTCAGGGATAATCAAATGAGGCAAAGCCAGAGATAAAAGCAACTGTGCAAGGCTGAACACATGGAACACAGCTACCCGCAGGGAGATGAGGACAAGAGGCCAGCACAGGACCAGACAGTGCCATGTGGCCAACTGTCCTGATGTCTCCCCAGCCCGCCTGCCAGGAGACAATGCCTTGGACGTGTTCCAGAAGCATCGAGAGAAGGAACTGAAAGACAGACAGCAGATCTATTGGTGACCACTCACCCCTTAAACTCCCCCCACCCATTGTCCCACCCCTTCCCTGACCCTGCCCCCATCACTGACCATGACATCCTTCCTGAAGCTTTGTCCCCAACTCCTAGCTGGGCCACCTGGAAGGAAGGGTTACCCCTGACCATAGCTGCAGACTCTAAGGATGATCTACCTCCAAATATGAGATTCCATGAGGAGAAGAGGCTGGACTTTGAATGGACACTGAAGGCAGGGTGAGAAAAAGGCTGGACCTCAGAGTGGAATAAGGGCTGGGAGGTCCATGAATGATGGGGGATGGTGAGGGACCAAGAGATCGGCTGATGAGTTACCTCAATACCTGTCCTAGGGCTCTGGAGATGGTACTTAAACGTGTTTACACATTCCTGAGCTCCTGGAACTGCCTAGAAGACTTTGATCAGATCTTCTGGGGCCAGAAGAGTACCCTGGCTGGTCAGTGTTTCCCCTAGACCTCCATAATCCCTTAAAGGTCCTTTGGATGACCCAGCATTCTCCACAGTCTCCTGTAACTCCTCACAAGAAGAGACTTTATCATGTCCGGTCAATTCAGAGAGGCCTTGAGAATGAAAACACAGAAAGCTGGGTTCAGGGTGGCCCATATGCCTGAATCCCTGGGGTAGACTCTGGAGGAGAAGGATATGCAGGCTGTGGTACATATATCCTCCTTCCACTGCCCGCCACAGAGAAGGTTCACCAGTGCTGGCAGGACGATGAGCTGTTCGGCTACCAGTTCCTCAATGGTGCCAACCCCATGCTGTTGAGACGCTCGACCTCTCTGCCCTCGAGGCTAGTGCTGCCCTCTGGGATGGAAGAGCTTCGGACTCAGTTGGAGAGAGAACTTCAGGTACCTCCCCTTCTCCTGCCTGGCACTGTTCTCTCCTTAGTGTGGTGAGAACAGACAGAGAGAAACCAAACTGACTCAGAGGAAGGAAGGCTGCAGTACTACACTGCCCCTTGGTGCAGTCTTGTGCTGGAAAAATACAGAAATAAAATATGTAGGGGAAAAAACTATGAGGAGCTCCCAGCACGAAGGGGAAAAAACAGAAAGGATCCCCAGCACGCAGAGAGGGGCTGGATATGTTGGCAGGAACAGTGACATTCCCTGGCCACGGTGCTCTGAACTCCAGTGTTCATGGGCAAGGAGAAAGGTGAAAGAGCCATCAGGTGTGGAGAATTGGGGATGCTTTCTAGAAAAAGAAAGCGGGGTTTGGAAGCAATAGACTGTGCTGAGGAGGACAAGCCTGGGCAGAATGTGTGCGTGTGCATGTGTGTGCTATGTGCAGTGGCAGGGGTAGCTAGAAGAAGCCCTCTGAAATATTTGGCAGAGGAGATGTGATTTGAATAGGGAATGAAAGAGCATTTGCTGAGCTGATGGCAGCCAAAACCAGAGTACAAACCATTCGGGGATGATCAGAAAGGGGCCTGGCCTTTGACAGGGGGTCAATTTACAATGCCTGTGATGCCAACTGGGTTGAACAGGCCTGGTTCCAAACCCAGATCTGAGACCACACCTCCACACACAAGGCATCTACCCTCACCAGGCTGTTCATTCATTTTAAGATAAGAGGACCTGGACCAGGTGCTCTAGTTCTCCCAACAGGACCTGGAACTGACACAGGAGAATGGCAAGAAGCTAGACTAAATGTCTTGCCCTGGCCGGGTGCAGTGGCTCATGCCTGTAATTATGCACTTTGGAAGGCTGAGGCGGGTGGATGACCAGGTCAGGAGTTCAAGACCAGCCTGGCTAAGATGGTGAAATCCCATCTCTACTAAAAATACAAAAATTACCCAGGCGTGGTGGCGGGTGCCTGTAATCCCAGCTACTCAGAAGGCTGAGGCAGAGAATTGCTTGAATCCGGGCGGTAGAGTTTGCAGTGAGCCAAGATTGCGCCACTGCACTCCAGCCTGGGCAACAGAGCAAGACTCAGTCTCAAAAAAAAAAAAAAAAAAAAAAAAAAAAAGTCTTGCCCTTTGCCCTGGTCCTGTGGCAGTAGACTTTGAATTCTAGAAATGGATACATCCCTCCTATCCCCAGAATGGTTCCCTGTTTGAAGCTGACTTCATCCTACTGGATGGAATTCCAACCAACGTGATCCAAGGAGAGAAGCAGTACCTGGCTGCCCCCCTTGTCATGCTGAAGATGGAACCCAGTGGGAAGCTGCTACCCATGGTCATCCAGGTGAGGGCGTTCGGCCTCCCCAACAACACTGTGCTCTGTTCATCTCAACCTTTGCTCCCAGGGACCCAGCCCCCTGGTTCTTGGCTCCTAAACCCCATCCATTGTCACTCAGTGAGACCTGTCCTCATGTCACACTATTTGCCTGTACCCTAGTCTCCCCTGACTCACCCAACTAGAAGTACTTGTTCAAGAGTCAAAATGGCCTCATGGAGTTTTTGTCCCATATCCAGTGGTCCTCAAACTTCAGCATGCATCAGAATCACCTGAAGTGCTTGGTGAAATGCAGGTTTCTGGGTCCCATGACCAGACTTTCTGATACAGTATGTCTGGGATGGGAACTGAGAGTCTGCATTTTTATAAGTTCCAAAGTGATGCTGACTACCAGTTCAGTACCAGACTTTGAGAATCCCTATTTAATCTCTCAGTGGCCTCTGACTCTGAACCCTCACCATCTCTTGAATATCTTTGCTCTCAATTTTTTTTTTTTTGAGACAATCTCACTCTATCACTCAGGCTGTAGTACAGTGGCGTGACCTTGGCTTACTACAACCTGTGCCTCCCAGTTCAAGCAATTCTCCCACCTCAGCCCTCCCAGTAACTGGGACCACAGGCATGCACCACCACGCCCAGCTAAATTTTGTATTTTTTGTAGAGATGGGGTTTCGCCATATTGCCCAGGCTGGTCTTGAAATTCTGGGCTAAGTAATCTGCGCACCTCGGTCTCCCCAAGTGAAGGGCTGGGCTTATAGATGTGAGCCACCACGCCCGACCTTCTCTCACTATTCTTAACAGTCAGTTGACAAGAACTGTCAGTAATCTCACACCTCCTGCTTCTCCTTCACATTCCACCACCACATGAGCACCAACCCCAAACCGACAGATTTCTCCCACGCCACTGCGAAGGCCTCCTTCTGGACTCCCTTCTCCCAGTCTCGCCTGCACTCCATCTGACATCAGGGCTACAGATAGCGAGAGGCAGCCTGGGAGGGGTCACAGTCCTCCCAGTAGGCTACAACTTCCTAGAACGCAATCTCACTTAGTCATCTCTGTTTCCCCAAGAATGCTGACTATAATGTCATATACAGAATGGGAGTTCAATCTTTTCTCTTTTTCCCAGATTCAGCCTCCCAACCCCAGCTCCCCAACCCCAACACTGTTCCTGCCCTCAGACCCCCCACTTGCCTGGCTCCTGGCAAAGTCCTGGGTCCGAAATTCAGATTTCCAACTGCATCAGCTCCAGTATCACTTGCTGAACACTCATCTGGTAGCTGAGGTCATCGCTGTCGCCACCATGCGGTGCCTCCCAGGACTGCACCCCATCTTCAAGGTACTTACTTATTAGTCTATTACATCACATATCCCTCAGACCCCAGAGAGAGGAACAGCCCAGTATCAAATCATATTGCTGCAGCAAAAACTCTTTGTAGCAATTTGTGAGTGAAGACAAGACTATATCAATATCTTGAGATGTTAATTTTAATTAAGTTTATTTTAATGAAGTTTAGTCACTTAACATTCTATAGGAACCCTCTGAAATTCTGAGATCTAACAGTCTAGCAGTGCGCTCACAGTAGGGCTTGAAAACTATTAGTAAAACCCAAGCCGTATTCCTACCTTAGATTTAGTATTTAACCAGAAAAACAGATTTAGCCCGTAAGAGCCAACCAGAGAACATTATCTGGAACTAGAGTTTGGAATCGCATGAGACAGCCTGGAACAGTCTAGTACTCATGAAGAATGTACTCATGAGGAGTCAGCTAAGTAAAAAACAGATCAAAAGGCAAGGAAGAGCAGCCAGCAAGCCGCTCATACCTGCCCAACAGTAAGGTGGATAGAGATGTACACTAGCATGGTAATGACAGGAACAAAAAGGAAAAAACCTAAAACATAGCAGATGAAACAGTAGCCACAGTGTGCCTGGGTGCAAGACAGAGAAAAGCCATCAGTACAAGCTTCTGCCACACCTGTATGTCCATGGGGTGGGTATGCTGTACTAACCTAGAAATACTGTGGTTTGAAGAGCTGGGTGTGGTGGCTAACGCCTGTAATCCCAGTGCTTTGGCTGGCCAAAGCAGTATAATCACTTAAGACCAGAAGTTTAAGACCAGCATGGGCAATATAGCAAGTCCCAGTCTCTAGATTAAAAAAAATTTTTAATAAATAAATACTGTAATTTTATAAAACAGTGAGTTCAGTATATATTGCCAGGGAGAAGGCAAAATAAAACCTGTGTTTGCTTTAAAAAAATGTTCTCAAAATCTTGATGATACTTTACATATAAGGAACTTGGCAGAGGGGGCACAAAAATGATACAGGCTTACAAACCAGAGTAATTGTCAGAAACAGTAAAGTTAGAACAAGCCAGAGTCGGCGAAAATGAGGTGTTTTGTTTTAGGTACACGGAGTTAGATGTATTGGTAAGATACACAAGTGAGTCCTGGGTAAAAACAACTGAATTGTGTTTCAGCTGGCGGCCTCCACCCAGATCCCCCAGGCCTGGCCAGTATAGCTGTGCCACCTCTGGAGTGACCCCTTGGTAACAGAGACAAGATGGAGACCAGCCCGATTAATGGCATATTGGATTTAATTCATCTCAAGCTGTGTCCTGTGTCCCCATCCTCTGCTCCACTTAAACAACTGAAGCCTCTGTTCACCCAGTTCCCTTTCCTAGTTCAGCCCTCTCGCTGTCTCCACTCACCACAGTCATGCCATCCCCTGGCAGACGGCGGACTTGCTGGTGGATGCACATGACGGTTAAGTCTGCAGATGTCCTAACAGTGACCTGTGCAGCCTCTGGCTTTGGACTGCTGGGGTCTCAGTCCTGAATCCTGGCCTCAGTAATTTCCAGATGTCCTCACATGTTCCATCGTGAGGTTGTTAAAGGTGAAAATGACTTAATAGTGTGACACAAGCTAAATGCTACAAAAAACATTAGTTCTTGCCTTTTGTTTTTTGGAGATGGAGTCTCACTGTGTTGTCCAGGCTGGAGAGCAGTGGCGCCATCTCAAGTCACTGCAACCTCCGCCTCCCGGGTTCAAGAGATTCTCCTGTCTCAGCCTCCAGAGTAGTAGGGATTACAGGCACTCACCAATACGCCCAGCTAATTTTTGTATTTTTAGTACAGATGGGGTTTCACCATGTTAGTCAGGCTGGTCTCGAACTCCTGACCTCAGATGATCTGCCCGCCTTGGCCTCCCAAAGTGCTGGGATTACAGGCATGAGCCACCGCACCTGGCCTCGCAATTTTTTTTTGGAGACAAGTTCTCACTCTGTCACCCAGGCTGGAGTTCAGTGGTGTAATCATAACTCACTGCAGCTTCAAACTCCTGGGCTGAAGCAATCCTCTAACCTCAGCCGTCAGAGTAGCTGGCACTACAGGTGTGTACCACCATGCCTGGCTAACATTTTTTTATTTTTTGTAGAGACAGGGTTTTGCTATGTTGCCCAAGCTAGTCTCAAATTCCTGGGCTCAAATGATCCTCCTGCCTCAGCCTCCCAAGTAACCTGGATTGCAGGCACATGCCACCTCACCCAGCTAGTTCTTGCAATTATTACTATTAGGGACTGTTCATCCTTAGGCATCTCTCCTCATGCGGACTTTGGGCTTGTGACATTTGGCATCTTTCATGAATCTTCTGAAAAGCTTCAGATTAATGTGAGTTGCTTTGATATCTTAACACCAAAGGTATCACTTGGGTCATTGCCAATATCCAGCATCAACAATTCAGACAAACAGCAAAACTGCTTGAAACCTGCATATTAGCTATGTGGAAAGGAGGAAAAACATTGTAAGATTTAAAAAAAGAAGAAGAAGAAATACAGCCAGGCACAGTGCCTCACATCTGTAATCCTAGCACTTTGGTAGGCCAAGGCGAGCAAATCACAAGGTCAAGAGATCGCGACCATCCTGGCCAACATCGTGAAACCCTCTCTCTACTAAAAATACAAAAAAAGTAGCTGGGTGTGGTGGCACATGTCTGTAGTCCCAGCTATATGGGAGACTGAGGCAGGAGAATCAGTTGAAACCAGAAGGCGGAGGCTGCAGTGAGCCAAGATCGCGCCACTGCACTCCAGCCTGGTGACAAAGCAAGACATTGTCTCAAAAAAAAAAAAAAACATGCATGTTAAGAATCAGGTGGCCTCTTTTTAATAGCTAAGGAAAAAAAGGAGAAGAGGGACCCAACAGTGCCTAAGTAGAGGTAGAGAAAGATTTGCTTAAGCAAGAAGCTGAGGCCAAGTGTGGTGGCTTACGCCTGTAATCCTAGCACTTTGGGAAGCCAAGGCAGGTGGATCACAAGGTCAGGAGTTCAAGACCAGCCTGGCCAAGATGGTGAAACCCCGTCTCTACCAAAAATACAAAAATTAGCTGAGTGTGGTGGGGGGCAGCTGTAAACCCAGCTACTCAGGAGGCTGAGGCAGAGAATTGCTTGAACCTGGGAGGCGGAGGTTGCAGTGTGCTGAGATCATCCCACTGCACTCCAGCCTGGGTGACAGAGCAAGACTCCGCCTCAAAAAAAAAAAAAAAAAAAAAAGCAGGTAGCTGAATGGAGCTCTTCTAGTTCTGACCAAAAGTTCTCTCCCAACCCGTCCCCTAAAGAAACCCAGCTCTGAACCAACTAAAAGATGGAGATGCAGCTTTGCTAATGAGTAGAGAGGCTAGTTTAGGAGAATGTGAATGACAGAGGAGGGAGCAAAGAAAATCACAAGGGGCTGATTCATAAGACACCTATATTCAAGGTGAAAACAATGAAAAGGACAGCTACGATTCCAGGACTCTTGTGTGTACTGAACACTCTCCATACATCACTTAGGTGAGCATCACCACTGCCCCTGAGATAAGAGAGTCTATTACTGCCCCCTGTTGACAAATGAAGAGATTGCAGATTTAAATGAGGCATAAAGTGTAGGTTAAAATTCTGATCAGTCTGGCTCCAGAGCTCAACTCGCTGAGAAATTGGAGAGCACAAGAGTGAATGATCAGAGCAGCAGGAGACCAGCCTGTCAAGGAAAGCAGCAAAAGGAGAAAGTGCTATGCTGGGTGCCAGGCTCTACCAGGAAGGACCCAAGCATGGCCTCCACTAAGCCATGCCCTCCAATCTCCTCCTCCCCAGCTCCTGATCCCCCATATCCGCTACACCATGGAAATCAACACCCGGGCCCGGACCCAACTCATCTCAGATGGAGGAATATTTGATAAGGTGAGAAGGGTACAGGGCATGGGACTGCCTCATCCATCTCTCCATGAGCTGACACTTTCAGGATATAAGACCCATCAAGTGGGAATGTCCTCACTCTTAACCTGTGAACCTATCCATTTTATACCCATGTCTTCATATCTGGAAATCCCACATCTGCCCTTCTTTATGGAAGATGTGATGGTTCTCCAGCCCTGTTTCCCCTCTAAGACCTGTCATCTCCTGTCCCAGGCAGTGAGCACAGGTGGAGGGGGCCACGTGCAGTTGCTCCGTTGCGCGACAGCTCAGCTGACCTACTGCTCACTCTGTCCTCCTGATGACCTGGCTGACCGGGGCCTACTGGGACTCCCAAGTGCTCTCTATGCCCACGACGCTTTACGGCTCTGGGAGATCATTGCCAGGTGAGTAAGGAGGGGAAAAGGGGGCCTCTGGCCTGAGGCCAGTATGGGGCAAAAGCAACGAGGAAATTAGAGGGTCCAGACAGGAGAAGCAGAGAATTCAATCCTGGGGAGAGATGAAGAACAGTGAGGACATGGTGGGTGGCTCTGAAAATGAGGAGACTGGGATGGGGCAGAGAGAGGAGGTGAGGGGAACTGTGGGGGGAGAATGGGAGGGGTCTGGAAAAATCAGGATTTTCTGAGGATGTATGACAGCAACTCTGAGAATTCCTAAACATCTGCTTCCATGAGATGCTAGTGTGTTTAGAGGGCTGTGGATGTCCCAAGGCAAGCTCTTTTCCCAGATACTAAGGAAGCGTTGGGCAGATGTCACAGAAAGAATAGAGACCAGAGGCCAGGGCCTTCTGCTCTCAGAGGCTCAAGCACCTTCTCCCCCGGGCAGGTATGTGAAGGGGATCGTCCACCTCTTCTACCAAAGAGATGACGTGGTGAGTGGGGACCCTGAGCTGCAGGCCTGGTGTCGCGAGATCACAGAGGTGGGGCTGTGCCAGGCCCAGGACCGAGGTAAGATCCGTTCCAGAGACAGAAGCGCTGGAGAGATTCTGCCAGGGCCCCTTCCCAGCCCTGTCCTTCTGGGACAGGACCCCAGCCCCTCATCACACCTCCCTCCCTCCACACAGGAAAGCATGTGCATCCCACTCCCACCTCCTCAGACTCAGCACAATTCTAGAGACCCAAGGGCTGTCCTCCTTGGAGACCCTGGCCATCAACCCCTAGTCCCACCCCACCCGTCACAGATGCCCCTGAGCTGCCATATCCTGGCACCCACCAGGCCAGAGCCACAGCCATGAGGGGTCTACACAGTCCCTCTGGGCTCACAGTCTCTCTTGATGGTTCCCTGTTTTCCTACCTGAGGATGTAAATGGGAAGATTTTCCCTCCAAAGTCCCCAATGACCCACCTGGCTTTCCCTCCCTCTCTTCCTATCTGCTACTGTCCAACACACCCAGAGGGTCCAGGGATCCTGCACACCTGCTACAGTGCAAGGTCAGCTGTGGATGTGAGCTCAACCCTATATGTGCTTTGCCTCAAACCCAAATTCAGCACCCTGATCCTAGGGGCTCAGATTTCTTTGGCTAACCCAACCCTCCCTCCCTAATCACCCCCTGGCTAGAATCGCCACTATGTTTAGTCAACCCTCACTCCCTACATTTGAACCTTTGAGGAAGAAATAGCCTTTGCTGAGCTCAAGCTCATCACACAGGCACCAGCATGGACTGCTGTCACTCATCCTTCAGCCTCTCCCTCTCACACTTCAGACCATCTGCCTCTGTGGGACAACGAAAAACATTTACTGGGGAGCCTTTATGGCCAATCCTGGGAATGTGGCAAACATCCTTACCCTGGAGGGATCCTCTCCCTGGGGAAGCTGGTTGTGCCACCCCACCCTTCCAGGACCAAATTCTCTCTAGTTCTTCTCTGTACTGTCCCTTAGGCTCCTAGTCAGTTTGGACTACTATAAACACTGGTGGGGCATGGTGGCTCACACCTGTAATCCCAGGACTTTTGAAGGCCAAAGTGGAGGGATCATGAGGTCAGGAGTTCCAGACCAGCCTGGTCAACATAGTCAAACCCTCTCTCTACTATAAATACAAAAATTAGCCAGGCATGGTGCCGCACACCTGTAGTCCCAGCTACTCAGGAGGCTGAGGCAGGAGAATTGCTTGAACCTGAGGTAGATGTTGCGGTGAGCCAAGATCACGCCATTGCACTCCAGCCTGGGCGACACAGCGAAACTCCATCTCAAAAAAGCACTATAGACTAGGTGGCTTATAAAGAATACAAATGTATTCCTCGAAGTTCTGGAGGCTGGAAGTCCAAAACCAGGTTCTGGTGAGGGCCCTTTTCCAAGCTGCAGACACCCAATTTCTCCTTGTATCCTCACATAGCAGAGAGACAGCAAACTAGCAGTCTGCCCTCCACTCATAAAGGTATTAAACCCATTCAAGAGGGCTGCACCCTCATGCCCTAATTATCTCCCAGAGACTCCACCTCCAAATACCATCATAATGGAGATTAGATTTCAATATAAGAAGAGCCAATGACACTCAGTTTCTGACACACGTTAACTTTAACCTCCACTAACTGGCCCCCCCATTCTCTTTCACTTCACATAGCCCACCTCTGTCTAATTTTCCCAACAGACGTTTTAAGAGGCAGTGTGCTAATTAAAAATGGCATGGGATTAGCAGTCGGGAACCTGAGTTCAAGGTCAGCCTCTCCCTTTTTCCAACTAGCCTTCCTGACGGTTTATTCTCTATGGGCTTTGATTTTCTTATCTATAAAATGAGAGTAATTATATTTATTCCAATCAACTGATAAAATTATCGGGTCTCCCAGCACTTTGGGAGAGCTCTCCCAAGGTGAGGAGATCACCTGAGGCCAGGAGTTCAAAACCAGCCTGGCCAACATGGTAAAACCCTGTCTCTACTAAAAATACAAAAATTAGCCAGGCTTGGTGGTAGGCACCTGTAATCCCCACTACTTGGGCAGCTGAGGCAGGGGAATCACTTGAACCCAAGAAGCAGAGGTTGCAGTGAGCTGAGATTGCGACACTGTACTCCAGCCTGAGCAACAGAGCAAGAGTCCGTCTCAAAAAATAAAAAAAAAATTATCAGTCTCTGAACCCCCACATTCACTGTAAAATGAGTGGCCAGAGATAACCCCTGTGGAAAGCCCCTCTTAGCTGTGACACTGGAAATCCATGACTTCTCCTGTTCCCCACCTTATTTAACACAGACTTGTCATTCTGTCCAGGAATAAGAGTCAGCATTCTCTATTCTTTCTTTATTTATTTATTTTTTAATTTTTAAATGGAGACAGGGTCTTACTCTGTCACTCATCTTCCAGCAATTCTCATGCCCTGGCCTCCCAAAGGGCTGGGATTACAGACATGAATCACCGGCCATGCGTCCTCAATTCTTAACCACTTTTTGAGGCAAGGGATATTTGGTCACTCAGAACTTTTCAGCCCCAGTCCTTCCATATTAACAATAATTATTACTTATTGAGCATGTATTACCTACCAGGTGATTTTGATACATCATCTCATTTTCAATATAGCTATTGCCCATATTTCACAGGTGAAAAAACTTAAGTTCAAAGAGGTTAAGTAATTGGCCTATGGTAACCAAGTGTAAGTGATTCAGCCAGGACTCAAACCCATGTCTGATGCAACTATATCTAAATAAAATGAACAAATACTCATCAATTCTAAAATATGGGCATCCCAAAAGATCAGCCTTTGTTTCTCTCCTCTTATGCCGTGGCTTCTAACTCTAATTCCTTTCCTGCACAGGTTTCCCTGTCTCCTTCCAGTCCCAGGGTCAACTCTGCCATTTCCTCACCATGTGCATCTTCACGTGCACTGCCCAGCATGCAGCCATCAACCAGGGCCAGGTATGGACAGCTGAAAGCCCAGGTCCCTGAGGGCAATGTCTGGCGCCTGGGAGGCCTGAGGGAGAGACGGGAGTTCAAACCCTAAGTACCAGGGTTCTAGTGTTACAGTTCCTTCCTCCAGCTGGACTGGTATGCCTGGGTTCCTAATGCCCCATGCACAATGCGGATGCCCCCACCTACCACCAAGGAAGACGTGACAATGGCCACAGTGATGGGGTCACTACCTGATGTCCGGCAGGCCTGTCTTCAAATGACCATCACATGGCATCTGGGTCGCCGCCAGCCAGACATGGTGAGAGGGCACTCTTAGGAGAGAGAAATGACAGTTAGAAGGAAACATCAGAGTAGGGGTCTGGGCTCTAGGTTCGATTGTCTTTAGAAACTGACTGATGATCCCTTTGTTCTGTCTCAGGTGGCTCTGGGGCATCACAAAGAAAAATATTTCTCAGGCCCCAAGCCCAAAGCTGTGCTAAACCAATTCCAAACAGATTTGGAAAACCTGGAAAAGGAGATTACAGCCCGGAATGAGCAACTTGACCTGCCCTATGAATATCTGAAGCCCAGCTGCATAGAGAACAGTGTCACTATCTGAGCCCTAAAGTGACCCCACCTGCAAGACTTCACATCAGCTTTAAGACTGACATTTCTCTCTTGAATTTCATACTTTCTCCTGAAGTCTCTGGTGCTAAGGCTCTATTTCCTCCCCCAGGTAAACTCCCTACATTAGTATCCCACTAACCCAGGGGAGCAGTAAACTTTCTCTGCAAAGGCTAGATCATATTCTAGCCACATAGTCAGTTAAAGACTCAGCTCTCCTGCTGCAGCATGAAGGCAGCCACAGGCAATATGGAAATGAGCATGACTATGTTCCAATAAAACTTTATTTATGGACACTGAGATATGAATTTCACATCACAAAATAGTCTTCTTTTGGTTTATTCAACCATTTAAAATGCAAAAAAAAAAAATCCACAAACAAACAAATGTGCTTTGTTTGAGACATAAACAGGCAGGCTACAGACCAGATTTGGCCCGTGAACCCTGCACTAGCCTGAGGCCCTGACCCTGCTTCCAAAACATCCAAGACCATGGAGCAGGGGGATTTCTTAGAAAAATCAACCACCTCAGCTTCATGCCTGGTGGCCAGCATACAGATTCCTGACTCTATTCTTTGGCAATTTCCTTCCACCCATATTTCTCCTATTCACCCATGTACCTCAAAAGTGTCTGAGTAAGAATAGTGTTTTTAGGGCAGAATAAAAACCACTGCCCCAAAATGGCTTCCTTGCCCAGACAGTCCCAGATGAGAGGCATATACTTCATGTTTCCAGGCTACTTTCCCAGCCCCTTTAACACTCTAGGATCTATGTGTTTCCCACATTCCAAGTTCTCTTTTGCAAGCCTTTTAAGAACAATATGCACAAAATAAATAAGAACTACAAAATTATTCTAGCCAATGACAGTGTTTCCTTGCTTGGTCCTGGGGTCTGAGGGTCAAATGATCCCTCTCAATTATTCTGAGGTCATTGTCCTCATTAGAGTGGGTACAACTTGCTCAGTGCAAAATTGGGTGTCTGTGTGTGCGTGTGCGTGTGCGTGTGTGTGTGTGTGTCCCTCTGCGCCCAGGCTGGAGTGCAGTGGCCCCATCTCGGCTCACTGCAACCTCCGCCTCCTGGGTCCTGGGTTCAAGCGATAATCCTGCCTCAGCCTCCCCAGTAGCTGGGATCACAAGCACACGCCAACACACCCAGCTAATTTTTGTATTTTTTAGTAGAGACGGGGTTTCGCCGTATTGACCAGGCTGGTCTCAAACTCCATACCTCAAGTGATACTCCCGCCTCGACATTCCTATTTCTAAATAATTATTACAGATCTGTCACTCACCAGTTAAGTATACAAACAGCTTTTTTTTGCAGGGGATAACCTATTTATATTTTTTAATGTTGTGTTCTACGTTATTCAAAAGACCTATTATCAGTTTCCCTAGTTTAAAGTAGAGAAGCCAAGTGACATCTTTGTATATTTAACAGAACTGCCCACCTTCACAACCAGCTCATAGTCTGTTTTTCCTGGACTTTTCCTAACCGCCCATTTTTCCTGGATCTGGCATCTAGAGTTACAGTATTTCAAATGTGATGATAAAATATTGCTTAGGAGAAAAAGTTCCAATACTAAGAACCCTCAGCAATTTTAAAGCGTTCTAACCACACCAGAAGGGGATCCTAACTCCTTTATACTGTCAGAATCTCGATATTTAAAAGGGAGGAGTAAAGAAGAGATAGAAAGGCTCCCTGTTGGTGAAAATCCGTCTCACTTACCATTTCCCCAACACAGAAGAGAACCCGAGACTAAAGTACCAGAGGTAAAAATCAGATGGCTCCAATCCTCAGATCTTAAGACCCCATCGCACCCGGTTACCAGGAGCTCCACCAGTTAGAATTTTTTCCCCAAGGCCTGGTTATTGCTAGTTCCTCATCACGTGACATGCCAGCTCCTTCCATTCCCGTTCGCAGGTGGAGAGGGACCAAGAAACCGGGGGCCCTCGCTCTTCCAGTACTCACGCCCCAGCTACAGAGGTCAAAAAGGGTTTTCACAAAAGCTGTATCGGTTTCAGCCAGCGCCGTCTCCCATGAAAGCCCCTAGAGGAGCCCAGCCTTGTCCGCCTGCCACCCCCAGGCGGGATGGTTGAGGCCGGGGCCACGCCCCCTCTGCAGCCCGCCGAACGCATCCTGGGCTTTCTCCCACCGATTTTCCAGCCCGCTTGCACCTCGGCGATCTCCGACTCCCTTCTTCATGGCGTCGCTCCTGTGCTGTGGGCCGAAGCTGGCCGCCTGCGGCATCGTCCTCAGCGCCTGGGGAGTGATCATGTTGGTGAGGGGACTCGCCGGCAAGGATCCGAGAGGGCCTGAGGGGCCCCGGGCTGGGAGCTAGGACACTCTGGGCCGCAGGCAGGCCGAAGGAGCCGGGGATCAACTGGCCCCGGAGGAGGAGACAGGGATTGGAAAATGGGAACTGGAGCGAAGGGCCCTGGAGTGGGAGGAGCTGGGACTGGTAAATGTGGAGACCCCTCAAGATAGGAGAAACAAGAGCGTTTCTCCTGAGAGGTGTTTGAGTTGAATGGAGGGCATGGGGGGAAACAGAGTGCTTGTTTTAGAAATGGGTAGTTGGGCCTTGTTTCCCCAGTAATCCACCCACCGCCACTTCAAGAAGAAATGAATATGTAGAAGTGCCGGTTCTCCCTCCCCTCTTCCGCACTGTCCCGTGATGATGACGCCTCCAGGGAGGACGATCTGCTGGGTTCCTGGGAGAGATGGCTTGGTCACCCTATTCCTACCCTTGCCATAGCCACTTGTCTTAATGTCACCACCTCACACCCTGTTCCAGGTGGCTGAGTCCGAATCCAGTAACCACCACCTCGTTTTGGTTAATCTCAGGCTCGGGTGTTGCAGCAACATTAGAAATGGGAGGAGTTTACGAAGTGAACGTGAGGGCAGGTGCCTGAATTCAACAACCTACCCATTCCCCTTTTCCAGATAATGCTCGGAATATTTTTCAATGTCCATTCCGCTGTGTTGATTGAGGACGTTCCCTTCACAGAGAAAGATTTTGAGTAAGTAGTCGGGTGGGGGAGGCGAGGCCGGGTGATCGGGGCCCCTAGGTTAGACAACTGGGAGAGGAGAGCTGCTTTCTTGAGAACGTAGTTAGGAGCTAGGGAGTCAGACCTCAGCGGCCATCCCAAACCCGCCACTCTAGGGGTGGCGTCTTTAGGTATTTTGCTTTTCCGTCCGTCTCAGTCCACCTCTGCAAAATGGCAGCTATGACAGATCTCACCCCATGGGATGGTCAGGAAGACTGAATAAAGTAATACACGTAACAGCGCCTAGACCGCTGCCGGGCACATAGCGCTCGGCAGGGGTTGACTGCTCTTAATATATGACACCTTTGGTTCATTCCCACCCCCAGGAATGGCCCCCAGAACATATACAACCTTTACGAGCAAGTCAGCTACAACTGTTTCATCGCCGCGGGCCTTTACCTCCTCCTCGGGGGCTTCTCTTTCTGCCAAGTTCGGCTCAATAAGCGCAAGGAATACATGGTGCGCTAGAGTCCAGGCGCGTTTCCCCGCTCCAGCCCCTCCTCTATTTAAACACTCCCTGCACCGCGTCCCACCCTTGCCCGCGCCCTTTGCGAGACTGGGTTTCCCGGGCGAGACTGAACCCCTTCTTCTCCCATCCCTGGCGTCGGCCCCCTTAGAGAGGGCTGGGGCTGGGGGGGCTCTTCCCTCTCTCCACCCTTCTCTGCGTCCCGAATCTCAATAAAGAGAATCCGCTCTCTTGAGCCCTATGTCTGTGCTTGAGTGGGGGCGGGCACGGGGCTGAGGCGGGAGGTCGGATTCGGCCTGAGGAGTCCCGACCCCTGAGCGGAAGTGGAGTGAAGTGGCGCGGAAGTGAGGCTACGGCTTCCCCCTTCGCCCCGGCGAGCCAAGCGGTCTAATCAACTGCGTCTGATGGGGCGGGGAGCCGCCGGGTTTCAGCCTATCCGCTGCGGGATGGGCGGGACTTCCTGCGCGGGGTCCGAGTCTCTCCGTCTCCCGGCTCTCCACGGTCCTGGCTCGCGTGTAGCGGCGGCGGCGGCGTCTCCGTGAGGAGGCGCGCGAGGCCATGACGTCAGCGTCCACAAAGGTTCGACCTCCCTCGCGGACAGCGCTCCCTGGCGGCCACGGGATGGCGGGCCCCCCACTTGGCGCGTGGCTCTTCCGCCCCGGGCGGGGGGTGGGGGGCGGGCGAGAGCCGAGCCTGGGGTGGGGCTAGGGGCTCCGAGCGGGATGGGGAGGGCGGGCGCCGGCCCCCCATGACGCTGCCCCGCCCCCAGGTCGGAGAGATCTTCTCGGCCGCCGGCGCCGCCTTCACGAAGCTCGGGGAGCTGACGATGCAACTGCATCCGGTGGCCGACTCTTCCCCTGCGGGGTACGTGAGCCGGGTCTGGGACGTGGACGCTGAGACGGGCGCTGGGACTCGGTCACAGACATAGACCTTCTCTAGCACAGGGACAGACGTTAGTTTCCCTGTGTGCCTGGTACAGCACAGAGTAGGTGTTAATAAATGATCGCTGGATGAGGAAATGAATGACAGATGAAAACACAGGCCCATAGCCCAGACTCCTCTTTCACGGTTCTCCCTGCTGCGAACGGGCCGACCACAAACCACCACCACTCCCAACCACCCCAGTTCATGGAATTCCCCCAGACGGCTGCAGGCTGTGTTTGGAGGCCCTGTCTGTCTGTAAAGCCCCCTCCTGGCGAATTGGTTTCAGTGCGCTATGGACAGCAGCCGTGTAACGTTGATGATGGAGAGGGGTGTTCTAAGGTGGAGGTGATTGGGATTTGTGATTGGGGTCCTCTCCGTTGCCGCAGGGCCTCAAAAGCTTTTTTTCCTCCCCTTCTGGGAAAGGGTCCCAGAAGTTGGGAGGAGGCGGCTGGTTGGCTGTGGGACACATTGCCTGTGGGCTGGCCCCACACCCCTCCTCCCATTTTTGCTATCCCCCCCTCTCCCCTTCTGACAGTGCGAAGTGGACGGAGACGGAGATAGAGATGCTGAGGGCTGCTGTGAAGCGATTTGGGGATGATCTTAATCACATCAGCTGTGTCATCAAGGAACGGACAGTGTGAGGGAGGGTGGCTGCCAGAAAAGGGGGGTGGGCAGCTTTCTTCCTCTTTACCCAAGGCTCCATCGTCCTCAGAACTCCTTTCCAGCTCAACTGCTTCCCTACTTTGTCACTAGTTTTGTTAGAATTCCCTCGGGGACTGATAGAATTGTCACCGTTGGTCAGAAGTTCCTAAAATGCTGTGGTGATCCTTCCAAGAATGTGAAATTTAGGTTGCCTGAGATGCTCAGTTACTGTATTTGATGATGGAGGTCCCCTGGTTATTTATATAAATTTTGGGGGACCCTACTACAGTGTTTCCAGGGGTATGATGATCCTGAACTAGTTGATCAGTAAATCGTGATCCACCTGTAAACCACCAAGCCTTACCTGATGTCTCTCCCAGAAGAGAATTCGGAGTCCCCACTACTCAGTTCAGGGACTCCACTCTCCACACTCCATCCACCTTGAGTGAGTGCAAAGCTTCAGGACAGTGAGAACTCTACCAGTGGGTTGGGGCCCCGACCTGGATTCTTAGGAAGGGACTCCCGGAACTCCTTCCTCTCCCCTCCCTTCTGTTAGTCTCTCTGATGACTCCTTTCCTAACCTCTTCTCTCTTTTCTGCAGAGCTCAGATAAAGGCCACTGTGAAACGCAAGGTATATGAAGACTCTGGCATCCCCCTTCCAGCTGAGTCACCCAAGAAAGGGCCCAAGAAGGTGGCATCTGGTGTCTTGTCACCTCCAGCTGCCACTCCTCCCAGCAGCTCCAGTGTCCCTGAGGCCGGGGGTCCCCCCATAAAGAAACAGAAGGCTGGTGAGGGCTGTGGAGTTGATGCCTAGGGGTTAAAGGTCCCATCTGAGGTTCAGTGAGAGAAATGGGCCTGGGTCAAAGAAGGGTCAGTCTCTCTTCCTGTCCCTGTGGAGGTTCCCAGAGAGGGGCAGAGGGGAGGGGAAGCACGAAGCTTTGGGAAGCTCGGGGTTGGGGGAGAGGCTGTCAGGGAAACCTAGAACCTAGCTTATGTCCCCCTCCCAGATGTGACACTCAGTGCTCTGAATGACTCCGACGCCAACAGTGACCTGGTGGATATCGAAGGGCTAGGAGAGACTCCTCCAGCTAAGAAACTCAACTTTGACCAGGGTAGGAGTCTTCGTCCCATACAGCTGACGGGGTGGGGAGAGAGTGCTCACCTGGATGGCTGGCTGGGTAGGGTCTCCACAGGGGCCCCTCCTTTGTAGGGCTTTCAGAAGAGAAGGTGCTCTCACAGCACAGGGCATTGGGTCAGTCCGTAGCAGGGTGTTTCAGGGAGGTGGGACTGGCCTCAGAAGCCCACTGGGGGCTCGCTCCATCTCGGCCCACTTTACTTCCTGTTCCAGACAGCCTGACCCTGGATTCTGGCCTTCTCATGACTTCTGCTGATCCTCCTCTCCTCTCCTGCTGAGGCTTCCACCTCTGACCCCTCTCACTGTTCTTGCCAGACCTGTGGATCACCTGGGACTCTAAGCAAGGCCTGCACGAGAGAGGGCTGAAAGGCTGCTGGGGCTGCCACCTCGCTGTTCCCACATAAGCATCTGCCCCCAACCCCTTTGACCTTCATCTGATGGACATTTTTATACAGAAAATAATAAAGACTTCCCTCTCAGCTTCGTGCTGCCTGCTTCACATTATTAACAGGAGGGGGCTGTCCCCTCTCCTCGGCCCGTAGCCCCTCCTCAGTTGCTCTTGCCACCCTGCCTGCAGCAGCACAGCCAATATTGGCAGACTTGCTTCCTTGTGCCAATATTTCTGTGCTGCTAGAGCCAGGGAAGCTGGGTGTGGGCAACAAAGACTCCACTTTGTTCTCTGGAGGCAGAACTTACTCCCAGGATCTCTGGCCGTCAGTATTCTTGAAACTGCCCCGAAGATTTTAAAGGGGCTGTTTCCAGTGCTTGCGTACCACACCCTCTCTTTCCCTACCTGGCAAGAAGTTTGTCATAAGACCCCAGATGTTTTTTGTGTCACTTCTCCAGGACGGCCTCCCAGGGCCAAACCTCGGCGGTGCCTCCCCCACCCTCGCTCTAACACCACAGTGTGGTTTGGACGTGGCCACAGTGCCGTACAAACCACAGTGTGCTGCTGGGGCGGGAGCAGGACCGGGTGGGTTGAGAGGAAGAAAGCACACAGCAGTCCCAGGAAGACCCCAGCACCACCTGCAGGAGCAGGGGGGCAGAGAAGCCTTAAAAGGCAAACATGGCCCCCCAAAACGGTTGGGAGGAACCAGGGACAGGAGCTGAGCTGGCAACTGGAAGGAGAGGGGCCACAGGGATGAGCTCACAATGTAGTAAGATTGGGCCATCTTCCCTCTGTAGGGGCTCAGCTCAGGGGATCTCTAGGGTGAAGTCAGAGGCAAAAGAAACGGAATGACTGGGGGGACCAACAGACTGTCTCCTGTCTCAGCAAGGGCAGGGACCCAAGGCTTCCTGTGTCCGTCCCTCCCCTCCCTGGGTCAGAACCCAAGAGAAAAGCAAGGAGAGACAGAGGGCCAAGGCCAGCAGGGTTGGGAGTTGGCAGTTCAGAGGTGGTGGGGCCGGAACATGGTTGGGAGAGGGGGGCCGGAAGTCGCCCTGGGCCCTGGGCCTGCCACAAGATGGAGGCCAAAGGCAGGAAATGGAGACCAGGGGGAAGAGGAGCAGCAGAACCCAGGAAGAGGGCCATCTGGACCTGGGGGGCCAGGTATTCAACCCCCAGTGCTGTTCCCATTCCCCAGGGCCCCTCAGGACCTGAGCCCGCCCCCACAGCAACCTCCATCAGCCCATCCACCAGGCCAAGGCAGGCGGGCCCACCCCAGAGAGCCACGTTTAAGCTGAGACAAACATGCCTCTCCCCACCCCCAACGCCAGGCCTTCCCTCAGCCCTTTTCTCCTGTCCAGAACTTGATTTTTTAAAAATACCCCTCAGAAAGCAAAATCCAAGGGCCAAAATCCCTTCTGCACATCAAAATATTACCCCCTAAAATCCAGAAGTTACCCTCCTATATCCCATGGCATCTTTTACCACCCCCTCTTCCGACACACCCCCCAAAACTCTGAGCAATCTGAAAGATCTAAGGTGGTGTATGTAAGCAGTCTTTTTAGGGCCCCAAAGATGCCAGACCCCTCCCCAGACCCCTCTTTGTCCTCCATCAAATTCTGCCAAGGCCTCCTGCTCCTCCTCCACCCTCCAGAGCCCCCAAACTAAGAGTTGCCCTCAGCTCCCACCTCGGCAGAGCTTTTGTGGGGGTGAAAGAGAAATTAAACACTATCCTAATGGCTGGGGATGTTGAGGGGCTCTCTGGTCTCAGCCTTTAGTTTCTGTCTGGGGGACTGCAGTTTTGGGGTGTAAGAGAAAGCCTCTCCAATCATCCCCCCAATTCCAAGACTGACAAAGCCCAACCCCACCCCAGCACGCACCTCCAAACCTCCCCCCAACCGCCATGTCTCCTGAAAACAGAGGACACTTCCCTCCCCACTTACCTCAGCTACTCTCCCCTGAGATCCTGGTCCCCTATTTTGAAAAGAGCAAAATTTGGGGTGCATCCCTCACATTTGGGGTGCAGGAGAAAGGAGCCGCCCCAGTCGCATCGCTGGCCTCCTTCCTCTCGGCTGGCTCAGGGACTGGGGAGTGCCCTGGGGAGGGGGCACCCCCACAAGAGAGCTCAGGAAGGGGTTCCTCCACTCCCAGTCAGAATTGGGGACACCCCCCCAAAACCCGTCCCAGCCCATCCGTCTCCAACTCGGCGGGAGAGGCAGCTGCAATGCCCCAGTCAGATTCCCCCAACACTACATTCCTCACCCTATCTAGAGGGGTCCCGGGGTCCCCAAAAAATCCCAAAAAAATCTAGGATGTTGGGGGGACGGTCCTGGACTAGCTCCCCAAATTTGGGGTCCTCAGATAGCCCCGTTTTTTCAGGAAAATTCCGTCTTTTGCCTGCCTCCCGCCAGCCCTGCTCTGTCCCGATGCCAATTTTGGAAGTCACTCCCTCCTTCCTCCTCCCCGTCTCTCCAGCACCCCCCCCCCACCACCGCTCGGGGGCTAGGGTCCAGGACACCTGGTTTCCAGACCGGGGAGAGCACTCTTCAAAGGGCTAGGGGGCAGGAGGTCAAGCTCATTGCCCCTGTCTTAAGGAAGCAGGAAAGCCCGATCCTCCCTTCCCCTCCCCCCTGGCTGGTCTCCGTGGTGGTTTAGGAAAGCCTGGAGGATTGGAATCTGCCATTGCTGTTGCACAGGCAGTTTTTTTTCTTGGGTTGGGGGGGTGGGCGGTGGGAGGGAGAGAGGGGAGGAGAGTCGAAGAGAGAAGGGACCCAGGCTCGAGGAGCTGGCCTGGCTTACCCTGTAGCCCCGGCTGCCGTGGGGAACCCCTCCCCCCATCTCACCCACACTCCTAGTTCTCTGTCTGCTTTCTGTTTGGGGCTCATCCTAGAAAATTAGGGTACAAGAATCACCTACTGTACCCCACCAGCACCCCTCCTTGCCACAGTTCCAACAGCACTGCTCTGATCAGGGGTGTCCACTTTGCCAAGAGACACCCCATTTTCCTTCAACTTCCCTCAAACTAAGGTGTGCTTCCTTAAGAAAGTGGGGTTCAGAGTCTGAAACCACCTTTTCTCCTTCTCTTCTCCTTCAAGCCACATAATAATAAAAGGAGATACCACACCCTTTCCAAGTTTCTCCCTTCAAATCCTGGGCTTATTTGGGGGTTCACTGAAGAAATTTCTAGAATCCGGGGTGAGAGGGCACTATATGCAAAAGACATCCCAAACCAGCATCGTGCTCCAAATTAAGTGAACCACCAAATCAGTCTCATATTTTGATTATCCCTTCACTTCACCAAAAGCATCCAGAGTGATAACCCCCCCCCAAAAAAATAAGGACATCCCAGAACTTTAGTCTCCTGTCCTCGTGGCCCTCACCTTGTTTCTCCCCCAGGAAAAAGCATCTTGGGTATTCGTGCCCACACAGGAATAGCCCACGTCAAAGTGAGTTTACACAAGACTCAAATATAAAAGTTCGCTCCCCCCCTCCCAGGACCCCCAATCACAGAAAGCCTTGAACCTGCTCCCAGCCTCCTATAATATGCCACCTCAAACTAATTTTTAAAACTCCAAATTGAATTTCCTGTCCCCCAAATCTAATCTGAGCCTTGAGACTTAGATGGCACCCCAAAATAGACTGCACCCCCAAATCAGCGTGAGTACTTTGGCTCTGCTGATAATCCAAGATGACACAGATGAGCACACTCTCTAAATTGTGGGTGTCAGAACCCCCAGAATGAATGTAGCTTCAAAATCAGCTCCATATCTGAAATTTACCACACAGGCCCTGGAAGGCTGAGTGCAGCCACCAGTGCTCATAACAATCAAATCAACTCAACACCCCATAATAACAGCCACCCCACAACCAACCAAATAATACTCCATCCTGATGCCAAAGGGACCCCTTAGTCTAATTCCCATCTTCAAGCTGGGCAGAGACCCAAGTAACCCTCACATGTCAAAGCCACCTCATCATCCTGAATCCTTAGTGGTCCCCAATTCCTGGGTTCTCAGCTGTTCTTTCATGCATTCAAATGAAAACACACTCCGGTCTGAAGTGGGGGTCCCCGGGCCTGATATCCAGCCCCACGGACCATGATCGGTCATTCCTAGCCAACTGTACACTCTCCCCAGCCCATATCCGTGAAGCTTCTGCTTTGCAGCGGGATTCAGCTCTAGCACCCCTGCTCCCAATGAGCCTTTCCTTGCCTCCCCGCAAGCTCCTGAAACAAAATATGAGGGTGTGATCCATGCCCATCTCTCAGATCAGGGACTTCAAATTAGGGTTGTTAGCCCCCTCCTGCCCTCTCTCCCTCCTCCATGTCGTCTTCCCTTCTCTTGTTTACCCCACCCAATTTTAATATTAATGTTCAATTAAAAGTCACCTCCAAAGACATCTGGGTGGCAGTGTCTAGCTTAATTCGAAAAGAAATTCCGGAGTTCCATGCTCAGATCCCGCTTCATGTCTCACCCACTCCCCTGACTCCCACAGCCCGCGATTTCTCACCTCGGGTAGGAACCCCAGCCTGAGGGGAAAGTCCCCTCGGTCTCCTAACTCTAACTCCCTCCGCCCAACCCTAGTCCCTTCCTAGGAGACAGAGGTGCAAAATAAACCCGCGCAAAGGGGAGGAGGCTAAAGGTTTCAGCCGACCAGACCGAATGGATCCTGCGCCCGGGTCTGACTGAGCGCTCCCCCGGCCGGGTGGAGACTAGGGGTGAGACGAGGCCGGTGCTCGGCCGCCCCCTCGTGGAAGGAGCCGCACATTGCCGAGCCTTGCCTACTTGCCGCGCTGGACCGCGGCGTCCAGCCAGCCTCCGAGCGCTGCCGACGGGCGGGTACCCGAGGCCCTGGAGAGCGGGGACTGGGGGAGAGCGAGCGGGCTTTGGGCGGGAGTCCGTCTCTCTGGGTCCCCTACAAGGACTCAGAAGAGTCGGGAGCGAGAGAGGCCGGACGCCTAGGTCTCCAGAGCGCTTCTCGTCCTCCTGCCCCCACCTCGGGGCTTTCCCCACCTCCTCGAGGGGAAGCAGCTGGCGGAGCCGTCCGGTCGCAGGACAATGGAAGGAAACCAACTAGAAATCATATCCGCTCTCTCACTACCCCGCCCGGCCAGATCCCCCCTTTTTGTAGGGCCGGATAGAGGAGCCTGTCATTCACACCACTCCCTCCCCCTGTCTGAGACCCCACGGGTGCCCACTGTCGCCTCCCCAAACCTGCTGTCTCGTTGGGCTCCCCCTTTTCTCCCCTAACCCAGTAAAAGAGGGGGAGAGGGGGTTGCTGTACGCGCTACGTCCTGCAACCAAGGTTGGCTCCTGGCAAACCCTCCCAAAAGCCAACACACCAATTTTCACTGGCCCAGGCCTTCCGACGAGTCAGACTCCGGTATTTCCAACCTCGATATCCCTAACCCCCTCCCCAATTCCAACAACCCCGTCCTCGTGTCCACCTGCAGGGACCCAAGCCCCCCTACGTTACGACCACCCCTGGTTTCTGAGGTCCCGCCCTCGAGACGGAGACCCCGCCCTGGGCTTGCCATCTGGAGAGCGAGGGAGGAAGGAAGGATACAGACCCAGGCGTTCACCCCACCTCCACCCCCGCCCCCGACATCCCGGCCAGATAAAGGAGCCGAGGCCAAACGGGGAGAGAGACCCCGCCCCCCTTAAGAAGAGAAGTCGCGGCCCCTGCGGGACGGGGGTAAGAACGAGAGACGGAGGGAGCCAGACTGCTGGGTCCCCGAAGAGGGTTGGGGCTTGTGGATGGCAACAAGCCTGAGTCCCAGAAATTGGGCTACACTAGGGACTGGGGACTAGACCGGAGTCGCAGAATTCCGTCGTTCGGGGAAGGGAGCTTCTGCTGGGATTTGGAGGTGTGTGGACGGCAGGCCGTGAAGTCTCTAGGTAGGGTCAGACGCTGGGACGCAGGCGAGCAGAGGGAAGTGGCGGTGCTGGAAGGGCGCTGGGAGTCGAACCCAGGGTGCTGGACGCGGGATTCCCCCACGCTCAACAACGACGCAGCGGTGTGGAACCTTCAACTGGCTCCAAGTGCTGTGGGATCTGGAAGAGGCAAGGGAGCGATGGTGTCGTTGAGGGCAGAATGAGCAAGAAGAATTAGGAGGGAGGCTGCATGTGCCGGGGCTAGGGGCTGGAGGCCCGGGCTCTAGCTGCACCTCGGAAGGAAAAGGCAAACAGAGGAGGGAAGGCGTCTTAGGACTGCCTGGATCCAGCGCACTTTCCACGGCCTCTGCAGGCCTGCGTCGCTATGGGTTCCCCCGCCGCCCCGGAGGGAGCGCTAGGCTACGTCCGCGAGTTCACTCGCCACTCCTCCGACGTGCTGGGCAACCTCAACGAGCTGCGCCTGCGCGGGATCCTCACTGACGTCACGCTGCTGGTTGGCGGGCAACCCCTCCGGGCACACAAGGCAATTCTCATCGCCTGCAGGTTCGAGGGGTGGGGCCTGAGACGGGGGCGGGGCAAAATCGGAAAGGGGCGGGGCCAGACGGCCGTGGAGAGGGAATCCGAAGCCAAGTCTTCCAGAAGCAGGAGACCGAGCGTCCCAGAATTGGGGGCGGGGTGATCGTGAGGAGGTGGAACTTCTTCAGGGGGCGGGGCTTCCTAAAACGGCTACTGCCTCCCTTGGTTCCCCAGCCCCTAATAGACCTATCTGCTCTCTTTCCAGTGGCTTCTTCTATTCAATCTTCCGGGGCCGTGCGGGAGTCGGGGTGGACGTGCTCTCTCTGCCCGGGGGTCCCGAAGCCAGAGGCTTCGCCCCTCTCCTGGACTTCATGTACACTTCTCGCCTGCGCCTCTCACCGGCCACTGCACCAGCAGTCCTTGCCGCTGCCACCTATTTGCAGATGGAGCACGTGGTCCAGGCATGCCACCGCTTCATCCAGGCCAGGTGAGAGCCTGGGTCGGCGTTCTCTATGGCTGAGGTGGTGCCCCAGGTGTTAAGGGCAAAGGCAGAGATTGTAAAATGGCACTAACGTTGATCACACTTTCCCCAGCTATGAACCTTTGGGCATCTCCCTGCGGTCTCTGGAAGCAGAACCCCCGACACCCCCAACAGCCCCTCCACCAGGCAGTCCCAGACGCTCTGAAGGACACCCAGACCCACCAACTGAATCTCGAAGCTGCCGTCAAGGCCCCCCTAGTCCAGCCAGCCCAGACCCCAAGGCCTGCAACTGGAAAAAATACAAGTATATCGTGCTAAACTCTCAGGCCTCCCAAGCAGGGAGCCTGGTGGGGGAGAGGAGTTCTGGTCAACCTTGCCCCCAAGCCAGGCTCCCCAGTGGAGATGAAGCCTCCAGTAGCAGCAGCAGCAGCAGCGAAGAAGGACCCATTCTTGGTCCCCAGAGCAGGTACAGAGTCTAGAACCTCAAGGATTTGTCAGAGCTGGCCTCAACCAGGAGACAGAGCCATTGGGCCTTCATGGTCAGGAGGAAAGGAGACAGGGTGGGTTTCAGAGACACTATCCCACCTTAGGGAGTTGGCCAGGGACCAGGCTTATCCAGCAGGGTGGCACTTTGGCAGTACAATGTGCGTAGTTCATTGGTCAATATTGGCTCACCTCCAGAGGGCAGGACTTTGGCTCCAAATTTCCCAGGAGAGATTCCCCCACCTCCCCACCCACTCACGCTGTCCATACAATCTCTAACCCTTTCCTCTGGGCCTTGCCATCTGCCTAGGCTCTCTCCAGCTGCTGCCACTGTGCAGTTCAAATGTGGGGCTCCAGCCAATACCCCCCACCTCCTCATGTCCCAGGCTCAAGAGACCTCTGGATCCCCCTCTGAGCGAGCTCGTCCATTCTTACCAGGTAAGAGCACTTCTTTCCTGCCTTTTCTCCCATGACTGCTCCAGGCAAGTTTGCCGCAAAAACCTCCCCAGAAAGGCCTACTCCAATGGTTACTAAACTTTACTACAAATTAGAATCACCTAGGAAGATTTAAACTCCCACCGCCCAGGTCATGCTCCATAGATTGAAATATCTGGACATGGGAACGAGTCATCAGCATTTTTTTATTTGGCCTCAAGCAAGTCAAACCAATCCCAGAAGTCCTAACAATAAATTGGGAAAACGAAAGCTACAATGTGGCTTGAGGATTCACTAGTATCTAGACAGCCTTCATTAATTACTGTGGTTACCGTTACCCATGCCCCTTGCCAGGAAATGAATTTTTCAGCTGCCAGAACTGTGAGGCTGTGGCTGGGTGCTCATCGGGGCTGGACCCCTTGGTTCCTGGGGATGAAGACAAACCCTTTAAGTGTCAGCTCTGCCGGTCTTCCTTCCGCTACAAGGGCAACCTGGCCAGTCACCGCACAGTGCACACAGGTAGAGGAGGAGAGGGCCCTGGCATTCAAGCCCACAGGTGTCCTTGGGCAAAGTGCCTGACCTCCCATCTTCCCCACCTCCAGGGGAAAAGCCTTACCACTGCTCAATCTGCGGAGCCCGTTTTAACCGGCCAGCAAACCTGAAAACGCACAGCCGCATCCATTCGGGAGAGAAGCCCTATAAGTGTGAGACGTGTGGCTCACGCTTTGTACAGGTACGAAACCAGCCTCCAAGCAGCTTCAAAGGCAAACCTGCAAGAGGTGGGGAGGGCCAATAGGGAGGGTTCTTCTGTCTCTCCCAGAAACATGACTTGAAATCTCCACCCTCCCAGGTGGCACATCTGCGGGCGCACGTGCTGATCCACACAGGGGAGAAGCCCTATCCTTGCCCTACCTGCGGGACCCGCTTCCGCCACCTACAGACCCTCAAGAGCCACGTTCGCATCCACACTGGCGAGAAGCCTTACCACGTGGGTACCCGACCTGGCCTGCCCAGTGCCTTAGAATTAATTATCTCTTCTTTGCCTGGGGGTGGGCTCTGAGAGGTGCAGGCCTTGCTGTCCCCAGATCTCTTAGAAATGGACAGGGGCTGGAAGAGTCCAAGCAAATAAGGGGTGGAGGCTGGGAAGAGAGGTGGGCAGGTATAGAAGTTACGCTTCTCGGCTGGGTGCTGTTTCCTCAGAGAGGAGCTAACAGGTGGGAAAACCTTTGCTAAATAAGGTGGGGCCTGGCCCCTCAGCCACACCTGAGGATTTGGCAGGATGTGAGAATCGAAGCGCTCACCTTCCGCTGGACATTTCCCTCCTGGGCGAGCTGGACAGCACCGCCCCCCAACACCTAAAAGGTGGTTGTGGATGGGGCAGGCCCTGACCTGGCTGTCCTCCCACAGTGTGACCCCTGTGGCCTGCATTTCCGGCACAAGAGTCAACTGCGGCTGCACCTGCGCCAGAAACACGGAGCTGCTACCAACACCAAAGTGCACTACCACATTCTTGGGGGGCCCTAGCTGAGCGCAGGTCCAGACCCCACTTGCTTCCTGTGGGGGGGAAAGCTGCAGGCTCAGGCCTTGCTTCCCTATCAGGCTTGAGCATGGGGGTGTGCAGGGCCACTTTGGTATCAGAAATTGCCACCATCTGAATTTCTTGCCGGGGAGAGCAGGGGTGGCAGATCCCGGCTAGATCTGCCTCCGTTTTGCAGGTCAAAACCTCTTCCTGATGAGCCGGATTGTTCCTGAGGAGAGAGCTAGCTAGGGACTGGGCTAGGGGAGAGATTGGAGTCCTGGTCTCCCTAAGGGAATAGCCCTCCACCTGTGGCCCCCACTGCATTCGGTTTATCTGTAAATATAATTTATTGAGGCCTTCAGGTGGCACCAGGACCTTCATTCTATTCCATTTCCCACTTCCCTCTTCCACAAGTGTGATCAAAAGTGACCTGGAACACAGAAGGTGAGGTCACGGCTCTGCTGGCAGAGATTACAGCCCTCGGCTGGCTCCTTTGGCTTGGGTGTTTTATATTATTTCTGTCATGAGTTTTATCTTTAGAATTGTTCTTTCTCCTGTGTGTTTGCTTGTTAGTTTGTTTAAAATGGAAAAAGGGGTTCTCTGTGTCCTGCCCCTCTAATTCTAGGTCTGGAACTTTATTTGTTCTAGGGCAGCTCTGGGAGCACGTGGGATTGTGGAAGTGGGTCAGGAACCCTCTCTGGTATTCTGGATGTTGTAGGTTCTCTAGCAGGCTAGAAATGGATGTAGACATGTCTCTGTTCTTCAAGAGTGATAGGAACCATTATGTTGAGCCTAAAATGGAGGTAATAATAAATGCGTCCTAGAGGCTGTGGGTGCGGGGAATTCCATATCACTCCAGGTAGAGGCCGGCAGTTTTTTCTGCAAGATGGTCCAGAAGCTAAAATGTCCGACTAATCCGGGCACTTGGGTTTGGCGCTGCTGTATCCATCTATAGCGGTAGAGCCCCAGCAGGGCTTAAGTTGAGCCCACAGGGTGCCTGTTCGTAGCACTGAGTTGATCCCTCCATGGGGGAGAGATCAGAAATTCCTTATCAGAGATGATGTGACCTTTTCTGACTCTGTCCACTCTCTATGAATGTTATGACCTAGGGAAGAATCGTGAAACTCTTTACCTTGATTAGATGGTATACTACAGAGGCATCTGGGTTTGAATGTTACTTGGGGTTCTCTCTACTGAGTTGAACCCCTTCTTCCTTTACTGGGTTTTGGACATCTTCTGGCAAGTGTCCAGATGCCAGAACCTTCTTTGCCTCTAGAAAGTGACGGTGCTTTGTAACCTTACCTTAGAAAAGCTGGGTCTGTGACCTGGTCTTCCCATCACTGCATTCCTGTCCAGAACCAGTGAATGCATTAGAACCTTCCATAGGAAAAGAAAAGGGGCTGAGTTCCATTCTGGGTTTGCTTTAGTTTGGTTGAGATTATTGTTGGCATTACAGATTTAAAAGATTGACTAGCTGATAGGCCAAAGGCCTGTTCTAGTTGACCAAGTTTCAGGTAAGATTAAGAGGTTGGCTGAGGGGTGCAGTTTCTGGTGTAGGCCAGGTGGGTAAAAAGTTAGAAATGGGATTGTCTCTTGAATGGGTGGAGTCTCTTGAAATGTTAGAAGATGCCCTGAAGCCTTGATTTATAGTTCTGCCCCCAGTTGCCCTGGGGCCTATTTGATTATGGGACAAGGGTGGAAAGTAAGAAGCACTTTTGAATTTTCGGGGTAGAACTTAAACAATAAGTCAGTGCTAGTGGCTATCACCTGGGGACTAGTGAGAAAGCTGCTCTGGTCTCCCTAAGGGAAGAGCCCTCCACCTGTGGCCCCCATTGCAGAATTTAAGAAGGAAGAAGGGAAGGTAGAAGAGTATGTAAGAAGGAACCATGGTTTCTATTTAGCAGATTGGATGGAATAAAGAAGCCTTTCTGTGCTGCCTGCTGTGTCCTAGGTTCTTGCCTGGTGAGGGGGTGGAGGGGGGCTTGGGGACAAGGGAAGAGAACTCTTCCTCCTGGATAACATCTTGGATTCTGTACCATTCCCCTGTCCCTTCCCACCAGACATTTGAAATAGTCCTCGTTGTCCCCTTCCCTGCCCTTGCCTTCCTGCTCATTGTGTAGGAACCAGTGACTTCATGAAGTTTCTCCGGAGCCACCTGCATCCTGCCGCCCTGAAGTCACTTCCTGCCTGAGGTGTGGAGGCAGCAGGGAGAAACCAGGAAGCCGCTAATAATACCAAGAGGCTGGGGCATGCATCTGTGAGGGGATCTTAATATTCGGGACATGCCTCCACCACCAAGGAAAAGGGCTAGGATTTGGGTCCCCTAAGGACCACAGGGGCTGGAGGTGGCACTGAGAAGACTGAGTTAGAACCAACATGCCAGCCCACCCTCCCGCAGCAAGGGGATCCTGAATCTATCCCAGGTCCAGTGCATGAATCCCTCCCACCCTTTCCCCTGTCCTTTGTGTTTCTGGGTGCATATCTCTGTTCTGCCCCACAGGCAGAGGTCAATTCTGATGTTACCTCCCTCTGGGCCTTCCAATTCCTCATCTGTGAAAAGTCAGTTAACATAATCTCTGCAACTCCCTCCCAACACTGAAAGTTGTGGTTGTCTTAGTCCATTTTCTGTTGCTTATTACAGAATACCTGAAGCTGAGCAATTTATAAAGAAAAGGAATGTATTTCTTACAGTTATGGACACTGAAAATTCTGCCCAGGGTCAAGTGGCCACATCTGGTGATGGTCTTCCGGTTGGCGGAGGCTCTGCAGCACAGGGTATCACATAGGGGATGGCAAGTATGCAAAGGCTGCCAGCTCAGGTCTCTCTTCATCTTCCTGTAAGGCCACCAGTTCCCTTCCCATGATAACCCATCATCCGTGAATGGCAGAGCCCTAAGGAGCCAGTCATCTCTTAAAAGCCCCAGCTCTCTTTGGGAGGCCGAGGCGGGTGGATCACGAAGTCAAGAGATCAAGACCATCCTGGTCAACAAGGTGAAACACCATCTCTACTAAAAATACAGAAAAGTAGCTGGGCATGGTGGCGCGTGCCTGTAATCCCAGCTACTCAGGAGGCTGAGGCAGGAGAATTGCTTGAACCCAGGAGGCGGAGGTTGCAGTGAGCCGAGATCATGCCATTGCACTCCAGCCTGGGTAACGAGCAAAACTCCGTCTCAAAAAAAAAAAAAAAAAAAAAAACCAGCTCTCAATACTGTCATGTTGAGGAATAAAAGTTCACATATGAATTTCTGGAGGAGACATACAAACCATAGCATTCTGCCCCTGGGCCCCCAAAACTCCTGTCCTCACATACATTCATTCCATCCCCATAATCCCGAAGTCTTAACTCACTGCAGCTTCAAGGTCTCATCTATGAGTTAGTGAAATCAAAACCAGTTATCTGCTTCTAAGATACAATGATGGGAACAGGCATAGTGTCCACATTCCTATTCCAAAAGAGAGAAATAGGCAAGAAGAAAGGGGTGAAACAGGCCCCCAAGAAAGTCTGAAACCCAGCAGAGCCAACATTACATCTTTTTGCTGGGGGGCTGGGGGCTTGAGTCTCTCTTGTCACCCAGGCTGGAGTGCAGTGGAATGATCTCGGCTCACTGCACCATCCGCCTCCCGGGTTCAAGTGATGCTTCTGCCTCAGCCTCCCAATTAGCTGGGATTAGAGGTGCCTGCCACCACACCCAATTAATTTTTGTATTTTTAGTAAAGATGGGGTTTCACTGTGTTGGCCAGGCTGGTCTCAAACTCCTGACCTCGTGATTTGCCCTCCTCAGCCTCCTAAAGTGCTAGGATTACAAGTGTGAGCCACTGCGCCCGGTCAACATTATATTTTAAAGGTAGAGAATAATCTTTTTTGACGACATGTGGTATCTTCTGACACAGGGTGGAGGTTGGATCCCCAAGGCTTTAAGCAACCCAGCCCCTGTAACTTTGGTGAGTGGGTTAGAGTCTGGTGCCTGAAACTTTCCTAGGACTGCATACTGCCTGTGACTCCAAAGTTCTGGGGGCCTGGTGGTGGTCCTGCTCCCACAGCTCCACTGGGCATTGCCTTACTGAGGATTCTATGGACTGGCCTTGGTCCTCTGGCTCCACCAGGGATTACCCCAGTGGGGACTCTGCAGTGACCTCACTTCCATAATTCCAATAGGCATTGTCCTTTCAGGCACTCTCTGAGACAATTTCACTATCACATTTCTGTTAGTCATTGCTCTGGTGGGGTCGCTCTCTAGTGGCTCTGCCCCAGTGACAAGTCTCTGCCTGGGCCCCTAGGCTTTGAACAACATCCTTTGAAGTCTGTGTGGAAGCTGTCAAGCCTTCACAGCTCTTACATTCTGCAAGACTGCAGAATTAGCACCACAAGGATTCAGCCAAGGTCTATGATTTGCACCTTCTGGAGCTTCAATACAAGCAACACCTAGGGCCAGTTAAGCCCCCGCCAGGCTGGGTGGGCCGCAGAGTGTTACACTGGGGCATGGGGTGCAGAGTCCTGAGGTAGCCCTGGGCGGTGGAGCCCATGGAGGGCCTGTCTCCTGAAACCCTCTGTCCTCCAAGGCCTCTGGGCCTGTGATGGGAGGGCCAGCCTCAAATATCTCTGAAATGACTTCAGGGACTTTCTTCATTTTCTTGAGGAATAGCACCTGGCTCCCTTTCAGCCATGTTAATCTTTTTCTTTGACAAGCAGTGGCTTAGCCACACCCTCAGATTCATCTCCTGAAACTGCTCTTTCATTCTCTACCATGTGGCCAGGCCGAGAATTTTCCAAATTTTTCCACTCTGTTTCTCTTCTCTATGAGATCACCATAAGCAGTTAGAAGAAACCACACAACAGCCTCAGCGTTTTGCTGGTTAGAAATTTCTTCTAGCCACTGGGGTTTTCAAAGTTTGATCAAATTAGGTTTTCCCGAGTCTGCAAATGATGCATTTATGATGATTAGCCAGAAATGACCATGAAGGGAATAAATAAGCATTTTGATTCCAGTGCTCTAAGGGGAAATCTTGCCTTTTAGTGAAATTTGAATCTGGTGACAAGCAAACTGGCTCTGAAAAGCAGAGCTCACCTTCCAGGGAAATGTGACCCAGGTGAAGGAGGCCTGAACAGCTCCAAGGAGCACCACCTCCTAAGGGATCCCCTCACATTCTTTTAAAAAGAAAGAAAGAAAAATTTCTTCTGGCTGCCAGATACCCTAGTTGATCACTCTCAAGTTCAGCCTTCCATAAAGCCCTTGGGCATGGACACAGTTCAGCCAAGGTCTTTGCCAGTTCATAACAAGGATGGGCTTTACTCTAGTTTTCAGTACCTTGCTCTTCAGTCCCATCTGAAACCTCATCAGAATGGCTTTTACTTCCATATTTTTCTTTTTTTTTGAGACGGAGTCTAGCCCTGTGTGTCACCCAGGCTGGAGTGCAGTGGCACAATCTCGACTCACTGCAACCTCTGCCTCCCAGGTTCAAGCGATTTTCCTGCCTCAGCCTCCTGTGTAGCTGGGAGACTACAGGCACGTGCCTAGGAAGCTTGGCTTATAATGAAGCAACAGGAAATCCAAGTCATTGGTGTTATGGAGAATGGGAAGGACTTGGGGGGTGTTGGCCAGGGGCCTGAGGACCAGTTGGGTAGGAGAGAGCTGACTGCTCCAGTGGCCAGGGTCATAGTTTGTCTCTTTAGTCTATCCCACCATGAGATCAAAAAAGGTGGTTAGGAAGTGGCTGTTACTAGAGGGCAGAGGAAAAAGTTCCAGCGCCAGTGAGGAAGAGGTAGGTGGTGCTGGCAGGGCCCTGTGTGAGCTTACAGCCGCCCTTCCTCTCCTCAGTTATTTTTGGTCTCTGTGACCTGTAGGTTTCCTGTTAGGGGGAACAGAAGTGACAGGAACGAGTTCCCACTACAGAAATGAACGCCGGGAGTCCAACTGATTTCCCTTCTCTCTTCCCTTAGCCTTTGAACTTCTCAGGGATCCAGGCCTCTAAATCCGCGTGGACAGGGCTGCGCGTTAGTAGCTTCAGGCGCTCCGACAGATACTCCGTTTGAGTCTCATCTCATAACCCCTCCCCTACCCCCAACAGGGCCTTACAATTCCGAAACACCTCATTAAAGCAAGACAGTGCTTTCCTCTCCAGAACCAGTTTACCCACCACCAACCCTTCCGTGTGGGTCTGGGTGCTGAAATGAGGATGAGTTGGCCCGCTAGATGAAAAGGAGACGGAAGCACCCCAGAAGCTTCCTGGCAGTCCCCGCGTCACGTGGGGCCCAATCTAGTCGGCCGCCTAACTCCCCTTCTTACGCATGCGCCTTTTCACTGCGCGGGTTCCCAACAAAGCCTAAATCCCGCCCTGCCCGGGAGCCTACGTCCTGATTGGCCAGCTCTGGACCTGGATGCTGGCCTGGGTGGCCCGGCGCCGACACCCCAGCGATAAAATAGATCTTCCACACTGAGACCGGCGCGCCCCAGGGGTGTGGCCCAAACGCAGTCCCGCCCTCTGGCTCCCAGCCAAACACTGAGCCGGGATCGATCCGGCCCCGGCCTGGACTTGCTCAGCTCCGAGCCCGGGGAACCACGCCCCCGGGAGCCTACTGCCTGGCCAGCGCAGGGCTGGTCTTCAGTCATATATCGCCCCCACTTGGGAAAAGGTGCATGGGCCTCTCGCCGCCTCGTCGGGTCCTTCCTCTCTACCTGCCTTTCCAAACCCTCTCGGCCCCGAGCCACCTGGCTGCGTGGGTGGGTGTGCAGAGGTGCGGCGTCCAGAACACGGCTCCCGCAGAGGCTCTGGGTAGCAAGCAGCCCTGTTACCGCCCAGATGGTGCGTGCGGCCGAGCCCCCCGACGGGGGCTGGGGCTGGATGGTGGTGCTCTCGGCATTCTTCCAGTCGGCACTGGTGTTCGGGGTGCTCCGCTCCTTTGGGGTCTTCTTCGTGGAGTTTGTGGCGGCGTTTGAGGAGCAGGCATCGCGCATCTCCTGGATCGCCTCCATAGGAATCGCGGTGCAGCAGTTTGGGAGTGAGTGCTGTGCCTGGATCTGGCGGACTTCGACCCTCGGAAGGGAGAGGGAATGCGGGGACCGGAAAGGGGAAGGCAAGGGGTGGGAGATGCAAGCGGGGACACGCCCGAGATCTTTTCGCAGCGCCCCTTCCACTTCCTCAGGCCCGGTAGGCAGCGCCCTGAGCACGAAGTTCGGGCCCAGGCCGGTGGTGATGACTGGAGGTGTCTTGGCTGCGCTGGGGATGCTGCTCGCCTCTTTTGCTACCTCCTTGACCCACCTATACCTGAGTATTGGGTTGCTGTCAGGTGAGAGCCTGCACAAGGGCGGAAGAGTCAAATGCTTACATAGTTGGATGGTCACCTCCTTCCTGCTTCTTCCAAAAGGTTCTGGGAGAAGCTGAGGGAAAGTTAAGCTAGCAGCTGTGCCCAGAAGGCAACTCTTAAAAGGAATGACTAAACCTACAAACGTGGTGAGGAACTAGGAAATTCAAAGATGATGAAACCTGGCCAGTTGCTAAACAGACAAAGTGGTGAGGAATTAGGAAATTCAAAGATGACGAAAACTGGTCAGGCGTGGTGGCTCATGCCTGTAATCCCAGCACTTTGGATTATGAGGCAGGCGGGTCCCTTGAGGTCAGGAGTTCCAGACCAGCTTGGCCAATATGGTGAAACCCTGTCTCTACTAAAAATACAAAAAGTTAGCTGAGCGTGGTGGCACATGCCTGTAATCTCAGCTACTGGGGAAACTGAGACAGAAGAATCCCTTGAACCTGGGAGACGGAGGTTGCAGTGAGCTGAGATTGCATCAGTGCACTCCAGTCTGGGCAGCAGAGCGAGACTCCGTCTCAAAAAAAGAAAAAGAAAAAAAATGAAACCTATTTACAAGCCCAGGGCTAGTTGGACTGGAGTGTAAAAGGAAGAATTACTATAAAATGGTGCTAGGTACTGTGACTGTGAAATCAATATCATTATTCTATTTACAGCTGAGGAAACGCTTTAAAGCTTATACAACTTGGCAAATGAAGGTTACACCACCAGAAATGGTAGAGCCCAGGTCTAAGTTCTATGCTAGTTACCTTACAGACTCTGTCTCTAATCCTCACAATCCCAAAAAGCATATTACATTTTGCAGTTGAGAAGGTTGAGGCTGGGAGTGTTAAGTAAAATACAAGATTACACAGCTAGAAAGTGTCCAAACCAAGACTGTATCCCAGGTCTGTGGGACGCCAAGTTAAGTACTACATTCTGCTGCTGGGCAATGTGGTGATGACTGGGTGCCCTGAGCTCCCTAAGAGTCCCTAACCCAGACCGGAAGAGTGGCTCATGCCAGTGAGCACTTTGGGAGGCTGAGGCAGGTGGATTATGAGGTCACGAGTTTGAGACCAGCCTGGCCCATATGGTGAAACCCCATCTCTACTAAAAAAATACAAAAAATTAGCTGGGTGTGGTGGCATGTGCCTGTAATCCCATCTGCTTGGGAGGCTGAGACAGGAGAACTGCTTGAACGCAGGAGGCGGAGGTTGCAGTGAGCCAAGATCATGCCACGGCACTCCAGCCTGAGCAACAGAAGGAGACTCCATCTCAAAAAAAATTTAAAAAAAAGAGTCCCTAACCCCACTTCTTCCTTTTTGACAGGCTCTGGCTGGGCTTTGACCTTCGCTCCGACCCTGGCCTGCCTGTCCTGTTACTTCTCTCGTCGTCGATCCCTGGCCACCGGGCTGGCACTAACAGGCGTGGGCCTCTCCTCCTTCGCATTTGCCCCCCTTTTCCAGTGGCTGCTCAGCCACTACGCCTGGCGGGGGTCCCTACTGCTGGTGTCTGCCATCTCCCTCCACCTGGTGGCCTGTGGTGCTCTCCTCCGGCCACCCTCCCTGGCTGAGGACCCTGCTGTGGGTGGTCCCAGGGCCCAACTCAGCTCCCTCCTCCATCATGGCCCCTTCCTCCGTTACACTGTTGCCCTCACCCTGATCAACACTGGCTACTTCATTCCCTACCTCCACTTGGTAGCCCATCTCCAGGACCTGGATTGGGACCCACTGCCTGCTGCCTTCCTACTCTCAGTTGCTGCTATTTCTGACCTCGTGGGGCGTGTGGCCTCTGGATGGCTAGGAGATGCAGTCCCAGGGCCCGTGACGCGACTCCTGATGCTCTGGACCACCCTGACTGGGGTGTCACTAGCCCTGTTCCCTATAGCTCGGGCTCCCACAGCCCTGGTGGCTCTGGCTGTGGCCTACGGCTTCACATCAGGGGCGCTGGCTCCACTGGCCTTCTCCGTGCTGCCTGAACTAGTAGGGACTAGAAGGATTTACTGTGGCCTGGGACTGTTGCAGATGATAGAGAGCATCGGGGGGCTGCTGGGACCTCCTCTATCAGGTAAGTGGAATGGGGTTCCTAGGGGATCAGGGCTGCCATGTTGCACAGCTAGGGGAGCCTATTTTTTTGTTTTTTTTTCTTTTTTTGCAATGGAGTCTTGCTCTGTTGCCCAGGCTGGAGTGCAGTGCCATGATGTTAACTCACTGCAACCTCCACCTCCTGGGTTCAAGTGATTGTCCTGCCTCAGCCTCCTGAGTAGCTGGGATTACAGGCTTGCGCCACCACACCCAGCTAGTTTTTGTATTTTTAGTAGAGACAGGGTTTCGCCATGTTGGCCTGGCTGGTCTCAAACTCCTGGCCTCAGGTGATCTGTCCACCTCAGCCTCCCAAAGTGCTAGGATTAGCTGGGATTACAGGCATGAGCCACCGCACACGGCTGGGGAGGCTACTATTCTCATTACAGTGTACGTGAATATTGTACTCTGGTGTAGCACAGTACACAGCCTGCATGGCCAACCATAGCATCCCTGAAATAGGTCCAAGGGGCAAAGAACGTGGGGCCAAGAAAGTCTGAGTGCAAAGACAAAGAGAAACTAAGTGGAACCCTTGGCAGGGCGCCTACAGCTTGGGTTTTCAGAAGACCTGGCAGAACCTGGCCTGGCATTCCATTGTCTACCCTGACCTTGGGCCCACTGGGCCCTAAACCAGATGTCTGAGGCACCTGGTCAAAGTTCTGCTGGCTCAGAGTGCCAGAACTTTCAGACCCTTATCTCCTCTTAGCTATTAACTGAAGGTTTAGAAAGGCCACAGTTGGCAGAAAGAAAGACACAAGTATGCCTGATTTCATCTGGATCTCCAGATACCTGCAGGCTGGTTTGGAGGTCCTTTCTGAAGGCAGGGAGGTAGTTGAAATTAACTTTTGAGGCCCCTTTGGGAAGCCAGAGTTCTCAAGTTTATCCAAATATTCCATGGGAGTTCCAACTCCTCTGCAATGATAAGTCTTCCCTCCACCCAAAAATGTGTTTGAGCTGTCAGCCCCAGCAAACAGATCACCCATATGTATACTTTTTCTCTCTTGGACCTAGGCTACCTCCGGGATGTGACAGGCAACTACACGGCTTCTTTTGTGGTGGCTGGAGCCTTCCTTCTTTCAGGGAGTGGAGTTCTTATCACCCTGCCCCACTTCTTCTCCTGCTTCTCAGCTGCTGCCTCCAGGCCCCAGAACCTTGTAACAGAAGCACTGGATACTAAAGTTCCCCTGCCCAGGGAAGGGCTGGAAGAGGACTGAACTCCACAGAGTCAGGCCCAGAAAGTCAGAGCATGACAGCTCCAGGTCTTCTCTTGCCACGTCTTGGCCTCCACGGAACAATAGTGCCTTAAGATCCTTGATCTGCCTCCCCCTAGAGCAGGCCTGGGGCTCCTGCAAAGTGTGTGCCAACCCCTTCTTGTATTTTCTTGAGGACTCTTATTTCTCCTCCTTTACTCTCCTAACCTTTTCTAAAGGATCCAGGAGTTTTTAAACATCCAGGAGTTCCTGCTTCACTGAGCTGTGAATCAACTGTGAAAATCCAAGGCCAAGAGACTGATCATGTTTTGTATACCATCTCTAGTGTTACCTCCTAAGTTTCTTCTCTGAACACTTATTTTTGGGAAACAAGAATGTTCCTTTGAGATAAAATCAAATAAGAAAATTAGATAATAATCACAACCTCAAGATGAGCTGGGGCCCATATGCTTGGGTTGGCTGAATGGAGTCATGCCTGGGAGTGGGGGATTGTATCCAGGAGCTCTGATGACCCAAGGCATTTTAACCCTGGACTCTGCTCTCCAGTGCCCCACATACCTCCCTCTTCCTTATTATCCTCGTGGCTTAGAAAAGAAATTGAGAGACTGCTGAGGACACAGGGTATAGATGTGCAGATAGCTTTGGAAAGAGCAGATAAAGCTGAAGTCTGGGCCTAGGATTCTTGTATTTCCCTCAGGCCCATAGAAGGAGATTGAGGCTGGGCTTGGTGGCTCACGCTGGTAATCCCAGCACTTTGGGAGGCGGAGACTCACCTGAGGGCAGATCACCTGAGGCCAGGAGTTCAAGACCAACCTAGCCAACATGGAGAAACCCTTTATCTACTGAAAATACAAAAATTAGCCAAGTATGGTGGCACACACCTATAATCCCAGCTACGCAGGAGGCTGAGGCAGGAGAATCGCTGGAACCCGGATACAGAGGATGCAGTGAGCCGAGATCGCGCCACTGCACTCCAGCCTGGGCAACAGAGCAAGAAGAAGGAAATGAAATGGAGGGGAGAGTCAGTCTGGGAGGTCTGGGTACTAGAATAAGAGACATGAAGATGGGGCAGATAGCACCCACAAGCAACCTATCCCCAGCCCCAGGAACAAACTGAAACTGGCTGGCAGACAACTTCTCAAAGCTTCCCTATTACTGCAAGGACTTGGGCAAAGAAAAAGGGGTTGGCTGCACAGACAGTAACCCTTCTTCATCCCCAGGGCCTTCTGGGAGCCTTTTCCTTTGAATCAGCCTTTCTGGCTGTTTTAAGTAGAATGTTTTCAGGGTCCTAGATTGGTGAACAGTTGAAGGTTTCAGGAAAACCCGATAAAAATTCTTTATTGGGAGAGGGGCTCAAACAATAAAATAATCAACAAGTGGTATCCAGAGTGGGATGAGGGCCTCCTGGGGAGAGTAAGACAATCTGGGGAGTAGGAAGCAGCTCCCCACTCTCTGGGGGAGGCGTGGCTGGAGGGGAGGCTGGACCACAGGAAGGCAGCACCCTGGGCAACCCTATGTAGATGAAGCTGCCGGAGAGGATCAAAGAGCCAGACACGAGGAAAGAGGTGGTGAAGTCTCCTGTCTCATCCCTTAGGAAGCCTAGGAGGTTAAGTAAAGGAATTCAGAAGCCTTGAAGCCCAGGGGCAGAGCATAGTTGTAAGTGGATCTGTGGGCTCAGATCCTTACCTGACAGGGGAGGGCCCAGGAGCCCCCCGAGGCTCATCAGCATCATCACCAGCCCCGTGGCCTGCACCACACCTTCGATGCCCACCAGCCCAGGGAGGACACCAAAAACCAGCGGGGCATAACTCCCAGCGCTCAGCCCATAGGCCACAGCTGCGGCCAGCAGGGGACCCCCCCGGCCCTCTTCGCCCCCCACCACAGGTACCAGTCCCACCACCCACAGCCCCAGCCCTGTCAGAGCCCCGAACACGGCCAGCAGCCGCGGGAGGGGCACCCAGCCTTGGTCTGCCAGCCAGCCGCAGACTAGCCGGGCACCCGCATCCCCCAAAGCAGCCACGGCCACCACCAGCGCTGCCCCGTACCCACCTAGGCCCCGGTCTAAAGCGTGGGGGGCCAAGTGAGCGTAAGGAACGAAGTACCCACCCCCAACCAGGGCTGTGCCTAGAGCAAATATTGAGAAGGCCCGGCGTGTGAAGAGACCCAGGCCAAGGGCAGCTAGGGGACCACGCGGTGGGGCTGGGGGGTCTCCAGGAAGGGCCAGGGGTAGCAGCAGAGCACCACAGGGGGTGAGGTGGAGGGTGATTGCGCCGAGGAGGAACAGAGCACCCCGCCAGCCGAAAGTATCGAGGAGAAGCTGCAAGGCGGGCGCCAGGAGCAGCGAAGAGGCCCCGTTGCCGGTGAGCGCCAGCCCCACCGCCAAGACTCGACGGCGGGAGAAGTATCGGGAGAGAGTGCCCAGGGCAGGGGCAAACACCAGGGCCCAGCCAGAGCCTGCGAATGAATGGCAGGGGATGAGGCTGGCCCTGGGGACACCTGCCCCTGCATTCCCAGCCCCGCCCTCCGCACCAGGCCCCCCACCTCGTTTGTTCCCGCCGGTCTCAACAAGCTCCGGTCCCCACCTTCACCCTGAATGATGCAGGCACCCCACTTCCCTCACCAGCGACGAGGCCCAGGCCGAGGTAGAGGTGCAGCAGACTGCGGGCAAAGGCCGAGAAGACGAAGCCCAGCGAGGCGAGGACACCGCCAACCATCACCACAGGGCGGGCCCCCCAGCGTGTGCTCAGGGCGCTGCCCACGGGGCCTGGAAGGGGGCGGGGTCAATGGAAGACAATCCCCTGGGCCCCCAAACTCGGTCCAACACTTCTCATTGGCTGTTTGCCTCCCTCGAACTAATGATTCCTCTCCTGTACCTAAAGGTGCACTCTTTTCTGGAGCCGGTAGCCCTTTCTCAGGTTGTTGGATAATCAGGTGGGTCTCCTATCCCTCCACTCGCAGCCCCTCCACCCCGTTCCCGTCTCAGGGCCCCCCTCACTGGCTGCCTGCTGCACGGCCAGGGCCAGGGCGCTGATCCACGCAGTGTCCTGGGCACTTCGGTCAAAGTGTTCGGCAAGGTCAGGAAAGGCAAGGCCCAGCGAGCGCAGCAGCCCGTAGGACAGCCCGTTCACCGCGAAGGCTGCGGCCACCACCACCCAGCCCCAGCCCCCGTCCGGAGGTCCGGCGGGCTGGGGGCTCATCGCCGTCTGCCGGGGTGGGGGAAACACCTGTGAGAGAAGCCTCCATGCCTGTGCTTTCGCTGGGGAGCTGGCATCCCTGAGATCCAGCCTCTGGCTGCTCGTCCGGGGTGGGCCCGTCACCCCGAGAGGAATGGCGCGGGGCGGAGGGAGCCGGAGCCAGTCCGAAGGCTGGAACTCCCGGGTCCACGCGACGCACCGGGATGGGGACAGCCAGATCCCTCAGGCCCAGGGCTCCCAGTCCCACGCACACTCCTTCCTCCTTACCCGACCTCTCGGGGGGCGGTGCGGGGAGGGGAAGGGCGAGGAAGGGCTGGGCCCCGCTTTCTCTCCACTTCCCAGGCGGGCGGGGGCCCCAAAGGGGAGCGAGGGCAGAGATGGAGCCCAACTTGGACAAGCTCTCTTGGTAAACAGAAATCAGCCAGGGGCCTGAGCCACCTGGGATAAGGGGAGGAGGGGTATGGAGGGCGGGGGAGAGCTGTGACAGCCAATCCGCCAAGCCGCCGGTGAGGCCAGACTCCAGTCCCACGGGGATTGAATTATGTACACACACAACCCCAAGCTCCGGGGAGGGAGCGGCGAGGAATTAATGCCGCGGGGCCCTGCCCACACCCTTGCACCTGCCTCCTGCTGCGCACAGGGGAGACACGTGGATTGCAAACGCCAGCGAGCCCGGGGTCCACCGCCAATGCGTGGAAATAGAAGTGGTCCCAAAAGCCTGAGGGGATGAGTAGTTTTGTTCTCAGGAATGTTGCTGAGGACCAGGTAAATCTCGGATATCAAATCACAGACCTCCACTGCGCGCCTGCTCTGTGCTTAAAATAGTAGGCCCCAGGCCAGGCGCAGTGGCTTACTCCTGTAATCCCAGCACTTTGGGAGGCCGAGGTGGGTGGATCACCTAAGGTCAGGAGCTCGAGATCAGCGTGGCCAACATGGTAAAATTCCTTCTCTACTAAAAATACAAAAAAAAAAAAAAAAAATTAGCCAGGGGTGGTAGTGCATGCCTGTAATCCCAGCTACTTGGGAGGCTGAGGCAGGGGAATCTCCTGAACCTGGGAGGCAGAGGTTGCAGTGAGCCGAAATTGCACCACTGCACTCCAGCCTGGGCGACAGGGATTACCTCTCAAAAATAAATAAATAAATATAAATAAAATAAAAATGACAGGCTCTCAAGGACAGAGGGATGAAAGAGGACTCCCTCAATGTGAGGACCTGCAATGTGCCAGGCACTGTTTACACATGCTATCCTTTCGCCTTATGATAACCCTGTGACCCTATGAAGGTGTCTGTAGCGGGGAGATCCCATAAACGGGGAGGCAGAAGCCACAAGCCTCAGCCTATTTCCATCTAAATAATGAAGAAGAAAGTAACTAGAAATATAATGGTAGTAGTTATTAGTTATTCATAGGTGATTTGAATTCTTCTACTCATGCCTCTCAGGTCGGAAGTGTGAACCTGGGGCGACATTGTGAAAGAAATGACCCTAAGGCAAGACACTTTAAGCCCTCTGTCATGCGTCTGTGTGGTGTTGTGCGTCCGTGGTCACGTCCCATGTCTACTTTGATGTTCCGCTTCTGTACCTATTTCCTTTTTTTTCAGAAGAGATAATCAGTAAAAGTAATATAAATCTGAATGTCTTTGTTCTTTCTTAACAAGTATGGAAAAGTGCTGATGCATTATGCTCCCTACCTCATCTGGGCTGCTAGAAATTCCTGAGCCCCTACCTGTATAACACGTGATGTATTTGACTCTATCACTGCCACACACTACCCCGCCACCAGTCGCAGACCACCAAGCCCACACCCTACCTACCCTGCCCCCAGATTTGCAACTCAATAAAAGTCAGAGTGTCCTGACATTCGGGGCGACTGCCAAACTCCAAGCTTTGGTTGGCAGTGGACCAATGGGCCCAAACTCTCTTTTCTTTATCTCTGTGTCTTGTGTCTTTTATTTCTACAATTTCTTGTCTCCACACCAGCAGAGAGGGGCTCAAAGGACCCTGTAGGGCTAGACCCTACAGCAGGTGTCATCTTTTTTTTTTTTTTTTTTTTTTTAAGACCGAGTCTTACTCTGTCACCCAGGCTGGAGTGCAGTGGCAAGATCTCAGCTACTACAACCTCCACCTCCTGGGTTCAAGCAATTCTCCTGCTTCAGCCTCCTGAGTAGCTGCGATACAGACATCTGCCACCACACCCAGCTAATTTTTGTAATTTTTAGTAGAGACAAGTTTTCGCCCTCTGGCCAGGTTGGTCTCGAACTCCTGACCTCAGGTAATCCACCTGCCTCGGTCACCCAAACTGCTGGTATTACAGGTGTGAGCCACTGCACCCGGCCGGTGTTATTCCTCTTTTACAGATGTGTTATTCTTCTTTTACAGATGCAGTAACTGAAGCTCAGAGAAAAAAAAAAAATGGTGTAAATGTTTGAATTTCGGTTTCCCAGTGCCGAAACAAAATCTGGCACGGTTAAAGGAAATGTCCTGGAGGCAGCTTGATGCAAACTACCCTGAAAAGGGCGGAACCATTGCAGGGAGAGAAAATTTAGGAGTCTAAAACAAGGGACCACAACAGCATGCCAGGCTGGAGAAACCAGTGGGGCCGCTTTTCTAAGGTGTGTCTTGAGATCCTTGAGATCAGAACCTCTAAACACTTAGGTTAAAAGTTTATTTTTATTTTTATTTCGTTATTTATTTTTAGAGACAGGGTCTTGTCCGGGCTGAAGGGCAGTGGCACCATCAAGCCTCACTGTAGCCTCGACCTCCCAGGCTCAAGCAATCCTCCACCTCAACCTCCCGAGTAGCTGGGACTACAGACTCCACACCATCACCCCTGGCTAAATTTGTTCACTTCTTGTGGAGAGGGGTTCACAGTATGTTGCACAGGCTGTTCTCGTGCTCCTAGACTTAAGCAATCCTTCCACCTCAGTCTCCCAAAGTGCTGGGATTACAGTCTACCATACCTGGCCAGGTTAGAGTTTTAAAAGCAAAGTAAGAAATCAGATCATCGAACCCAGAGATTGATTTTTTGAACCACTTTATAGAAAATGTCCCTTTTTACAGGGTAACATTGCTTTACCTCAGCTGTTTGAATTCAGAGATGTGTTCTTTGGTTTAATTATTAAACAATGTGATAGAAAATGCAGCAACTTAGTTGGGATCATGCATGCACTGGGCCACATGATGGCAGTGTGTCCTAATTGTTGGGAAACAATCTGCATGTACAGACAAGAAAAACAGCTTCTTGAAGAGCTCAACTGTAAACCTAAAAAACACAGCATGACCTTCAATGACTCTCCATTGCCTACAGAGGGGAAAAATTACATTTCTGTACTTTTACAATAATCAAAGGTAGACCTAGGTTACCATTTCAAACCATCTCCGCCCCCCTTCTGGCACCCTCCAGTCGGCCACTCTCTCCTCTGATCTGTGGACATGCCTAGCTTTTTCTCACTCCTCAATTTTTGTATATGTCATGCTCTCTGCTTGAAATGCCCTGGATGGAGTACAGGAGTTCATGAAGGTTTAAGGTCCTGACAGACACAGCTTAGGAAAGTGGCTCCACCTGTTTCCCCAGCCTGGAGAGCTGTTGTGAAAGTCACCAGGTCCTCAGCCACTGGGGAGGGCAGGGATCCTGCTTCCTGAGAAGGCTGCTGAGGACTCTGCTCCAAGCTAAACAAATCACTGTCTCCCCTGGTGAGGCAGAAATGCTGGGCAGTCAAAGAGAAGCCTGGGCCCTCTGCATCTGGGAGTTGTGCTGAGTCTGAGCACCTTGGCAGGATGCTTACAAAGCCAGAAGGGCATCCCAGAGCCTGGGACTAGGGCTGTGAAGGCACATTCCTCTCCTACCTCGGGCTCCCTATATTCTTAGCAAAACTTGTCATCATTTGCTCATGGAGGTAAAATAGCACAGAGATTAGGAGAATGGACTCCCAAGCTGGCTTTCCTGGGATTGAATTCCAGCTCTACCACTTAGTAACTATACAATTGTGAGCAAGTGTTACTCAACCTCTCTGTGCCTCAGTTTCCTCATCTCTACAATGGGGGTAATAACAGCAGCTACCTGATGAGTCACTATAAGGATTAAATGAGTCACTGTGATTACATACATAAGTAAAGGACTTCGAACAGTGCGGAAATATGATATGTGTTAGAGCCCACTGCCACTATTTGTTTTTCTTTTGATACTGAGTCTCTCTCTGTTGCCCAGGCTGGATTGCAATGGTAAAGTCTCAGCATGCTGCAACTTCTGCCTCCAGGGTTCAAGTGATCCTCCTGCCTCAGCCTCCCAAGAAGCTGAGATTCCAGGTGCCTGCCACCACACTCAGCTAACTTTTTTGTGTTTTCAGTAGAGACAGGATTTCACCATGTTTGCCAGGCTGGTTTTGAACTCCTGACCTTAGATGATCCTCCCACCTCAGCCTCTCAAAGTGCTAGGAGTATAGGCATGAGCCACCACACTTGGCCTCTATTGCCGCTATTGCTGTGACTTGAGGAACCTGGCTGGACTGAACAGCACGGCAGCCCCTTTCTTACCTGGCTACTTCTGATGACAAAAATGCCTCAAGGTCAAGGCGCCATATTGGCCTGGTAAGTTCTGAGGAGAGCCACATGGGTTATAAAATGTAAGTGGGTATAGAGATTCAATGGACATTTCTACTTTTCTTATTCTTTCTTCTTTCTTTTCCCTTAGCATTTTCCAAACTTTGCGAGAAAATGCTGGTCTCCCTGTCTTGACTCTAAAAGCAAAAGAGAAGGCCAGATGCGGTGGCTCACACCTGTAATCCCAGCACTTTGGGAGGCTGAGGCAGGTGGACGATCTGAGGTCAGGAGCTTGAGACCACTCACTCTTGCGTGCCCACCTCCCTCCCCATGTACCTTCTGCAGAGGGAGCCAACATGGTGAAACCCTGGTCTCTACTGAAAATCCAAAAATTAGCTGGACGTGGTGATGCATGCCTGTAATCCCAGCTACTTGGGAGGCTGAGGCAGGAGGAATCACTTGAACCTGGGAAACAGAGGTTGCAATGAGACAAGATTATGCCACTGCACTCCAGCCTAGGTGACAAGAGAGAGACTCCATCTCAAAAAAAAAAAAAATTTTTTTTAATAGGCTGAGCGCAGTGGCTCATGCCTATAATCCCAGCACTTTGGGAGCCCAAGGCAGGCAGATCATAGGTTAGGAGATCAAGACCATCCTGGCTAACATGGTGAAACCCCATCTCGACTAAAAATATAAAAAAGTAGCTGAGTGTGGTGGCACATACCTGTAGTTTCAGCTACTGAGGAGGCTGAGGCAAGAGAATCGCTCAAACCCAGGAGGCAGAGGTTACAGTGAGCTGAGATCTCGCCACTGTACTCCAGCCTGGGAGACAAAGCAAGACTCCATCTCAAAAATAAATAAATAAATAAACCAAAATAAAACTTCATACAAAATATTTATAGACAGCC